AATCTTTTGCCCGCGTGAAACCATCATCCTCAAACCATAAAAATGTGAGACAGTGAGAAATTGCAAACCCTACAGAACGCACAACCCAACTTGATCAAATTGCTACCAATTTAAACTAACTCCTATCGATGGTCAAGAATAGTAAGAGACTGTTCCTCTCGAGTCACGAGTGCCTTCAGAAACATTTCCACAGTACATGTAGATGACACGTAAAGTCCATGCGTCCATGGTCAAATTACGCCGTAATACGTTGGATGAGTAGACCATTGCGTTCAAATGGCTCGTTGGGCCTCCTAAAACGGTTTTGAAGAGCAGCAGATGTTAAGCATGCCTTGTGAGATTCAATCATGGAACATCAGGTTTGGAAGATCCATAGATCTCAAATTTGTTACTCGCGTCTACTTCCAAGCATCTTTGAGATTCATCGATGACCTTTACCTAATTCCTTTTATTCTTCAACAATGGGTCTAGATCCAAGTTTGAAAGGGACTGATGCGATGCCTTTGTCAGAAAAACTGACAGACATTCCCGCTGCTACTTTTAGTGAGGCAATATGGAAGGCTGCAGATGTCTTTGTGGCCCGAAGCTGGAAGACTGGAGGAGCTCAAAGATCGTCGTGATGGACCATATCTAGACTAAACTTTCGTTAGAACCCAAGAATGACAGCCAGAATTCAGAGAAAACATCTCGTACACTCCGTGATCTGTTGGTTGAACCTGTCCTTTCGATGGGGACTGAAGGCAGGTGACGCCATCTTTCCTTTCAGGTCCCGAATCACCTTAAGTTCGAAACGCAATTTGGTTCAATATGTCATGTTTCATTTGAAAGTTGATTCAAACACATGATCAAGGAGCCGCGTTGTTCAAATGTCACTGGTTTCTCGATACTTCAAGTCTTCTCGTCTGCTATCTGTGGGTCCATCTTTAGTCTGCCGAGTACAGACGGAAACTTAGGCTGATAAGCCAGGGTTCTAAACAACCCGAAGCTCTTTGCAAGTAACATCGTTGTAGAATCCAGGGGTAAGAAATTTTAGTAAGACGTGGTAATCTTCGTCGGTTCAATTTCAACCCCCCTCAGAGCCCAGCCTACTCTACAAGATAAGGCACTTATGTGGGTAACAGAAGTCGGTACAAGAGGGAGTTAACTGCGTTTTTGAGATAGCTCCTTCTTTCTTCCACTTCTGCTCACAAGTCACCTTATTTAAAGCGCAGGAATAAGTCGATACATCTCACAGTCTCAACATTGTGAGCACTTTGATTTGATGGAAATTGGGGCCTAGCCCCTATTGCAACTTCACAATCGCTGCCTTCCATCCAGTAACTTACTCAACTATCCATCTGAGCTCTGTGAAACAAAGCGGTCCATCTACCAACGAACTGTCTGTAAGCAACTTTCAGAATACCCTTGCACATTCCATCCAATTTCGGGCAATGCTAGCTCCTACCCTGATTCTTGGACACGGTGACCTCCTCAAATGTGCTTTTTAGCAAGTTGTGCCCCATGTCACTTTCACTTTCATCTCACCTTCAATGCGAATCTCTTTACCGGGTGCCGTAATTGCTCAAAGAAAGATGGATCTTTGGTCAAGTTCATGAAGGCCGTATATGTTGATCTTAATTGGGGAACAATTCCCTCAATGCCTTGAAGCTCCAAGCCTTCAGTTTATTGATAGACAACTTCTCAAACCTGTCATCTGACCTCGGGAATTCTTTCATCTTCACTCTGCTGTAAGGTAGGCTTAGGCTCCAGGCAGCCCACTATTTGGACTTCCATATCCAAGGCTCCAAGCCTTTTTGCTATCCTTCATAATCTCAACTTCACCTTTGGTCCTTACACAGGCAGTCCATCCCCTTTGGACTAACACCATGTGCCTGATAGCCTCCCGACCGCCCAACAACCTGTACCTTCCTTCCACCCTTCATACCTGCCTCCTTCGACCTGCCTGATATCTCGAGCCGCCCTGAACCGCCCTCGAACCGCCCATCCTCCCATTCTTCATCATAAAACCTCCTCCTCCATCCCGGAACCAGGCCAATTCCTCTCCTTCCTTCATCCACCTCATGGACAACCAATATTTCGCCTGAAACAATCATCCTGTTTCTTCCTTTGCTCATCAAGTCTTTGAACTCTGTCACCAATCGGATCAAATGACTGACTGTCATCTTGCCGAGTAAACTGTCATCAACAAACTGCACGCATAACCTACGACTGTTACTTTTGCTGTTCAAGACACATACCTTCGTTACATCGGTCCCTAGTAAGTCTCTTCAACCAGAGAGCAGGCTTCTTCCTTGTACAATTCCAAAGCAACCACACTCGCAGCTTCTTACCTCAACTAACATCAAGAAAGTTTACTGTCTAACTTGTCAACTTCACGATGGCTGGTTTCGATCTTCTCGCTGGATCTCCCGAGCACACTGCTGCTGCTTACCAGGCTTTGGTCAATGCTCCTCGCAATATTCGAACGCATGCCAACGCTACTGGAGGCAACGATGATCAAGCTATTCTTTCCAGCTCTGTCTATTGCCCGGGTATTGCCCGGGATGCTCACCAGAACCTGACCAACCATCAAAATGGCAGCAAGCAATCCAACCACAGATTGGTCATGGATCCTGCGATTGAAGCGAATTTGCTCCAAAGCATGGCCCGGATTGATCTCGCCCATACCCATGCCATTCGGACTGATAGCCATCGCACCATCGTTGGAAGTGCCTACGTTCACCCCCGAGTCGGCTCATCCTCCAGCCATGGGTCTTCAAGCACCGATCGGCTTTCCATCTCGTCCGGTGCCCGCCAAGGTCTAGCCTACTACAACGCCACCGACTATAAAGCTGGCGAGAATACGGGAATCGATAAGGGCAAGGGCAGCGAGAAGACCAACTCCTCTCCACCCACCACTATCTCTCCTGATTCCACTTCTGCAAACGTCGGCGGCTCCAACACCAAGACTCAAGGCCAGAAGCTCAATGCGGCAGATGGAACTCCCGAGAGAGCCCCTGGCTGGGTTTTGCCTCGTTTCCGCGGCCAAGCCATGCCTGTTCGAGAGCCCGTGAATGCTGGTGCTCAAAACAACTTCCCAGGCGGCCCGCGTGCGAGTTTGGCTGGTCAGGTGCAGCCACAGCCGCGGCAGTCTGGCTCCGAGTCAAGTCGCAACCGAGTTTTCATCCCTCAGCCAGATGTTGGAATGCCGTCAACCCATCGCAATGGCACGAAGCCCACGAACAGCCAAGCTCCAATCGGCACAGGTCGTTGGGACCATCATACCCTGGGGGAGTTGCTCACTCCTCAAGCCACGTCTGTCTGGGCTCAGTATGAGCCTCGACCTGCGGTTGCTCAGAAGGGCTTCCAATCTTACGCTCCAGTTGGCGAGTTTCGGCCAATGAACGCCGTCACTCGAACATTCTTCCGCCCCGAGTGCGATCCCCAGAAGGATCTCAAAATGGCCCAGGGTGTCTCGGCTAACTACAAGGGCGATGCTTTGAACCCGCGCAACCTTTCGGATGACATTCCGGAGTGCAAGAATGTTTCCTTCTTCTTGACCAATCTCCCAGCGGACGTCACCTACAGCCAGCTCCTGGGTCAAATTCGCGGCATGGGACGCGTCTGGGCCACTGTGATCAATCCTCCAGATGGTCACGAGCATTTCACTTCGGCTGCCAAGTTGGTGTTTTTCGAGCTGGTCGCGGCTCAGCGCTTCTACGCTCACTGTAGAAACCCGGCCCGTCGTCTCATCATCAGTAGCTACGCCGTCAAGATTGTTCGCAACCGGGTTCGAAAGGCCGAGGAAGATGTCGGCGGCTACCACTCTCGTGTTCTCGTCGTTACCGGCGAGTTGTCCTTTGTCAACAAGGACACTCTGTTGCGTTACTTCCGCACGAAGCTTGACTTCGACACCGAGGATGTCATCGCCCATGTTCAAGATCCTCAGACTGGAATGGGAGAGCTTGAAATCCGATTCGCCTGCTATCGGAACCAGTCCGAGTCTGCTCGTCAAGCGCTGAGCAAGGAGTATCCTCCCGGTGCCACCCTTCCAGATGGCAGGATGTCTCCAATTTGGGAGCTCAGATACGGTGTCGACCCTTGCTCAATCTGAGAGCTTGAAGTGGTCACCTTCTCAAACCAGTGAGATCAGTGAAGATAAAGCTGATTAGGAGGTTCATGGGCAGTCACTTCGAACAACAAGCACGGATCGGACGGACTGGAAGTAGACATAACTTCACTTCCACTTGTCTAGGGGGTGAGAAGCTCTGGATTTTGAGTTTGATTCGTAATGAGGTACCCAGGCGTTCGCTTTTAATTTGCTGCTGGGCAGCTGTATCATCGCCGACTTTGGTCAATAGAGGTGTTGGGACAATGGCTTGCTAGGTAATATTTGGTTGGGATTTCTTCAGATAGTGATGGGGCTTTCAGGATGAACACAGATACACGGATAGTCATGGAAGTCCTCCGGCAATGAATCAATTTTTGTTTCTGCATTGCGCTCAGTTTATTCTCCACTCATGGATCGCGACACTCATTCAGCGGCGAAGTCGCCCAGGGAGTTACAAAAACCCTCAGGGGTTGCATCTTGATCGTGCCTTCTGGAAGGAAGGATGTTTGATGATGACATAAGCATGAAATCTGCAAGTGGTCTGGGGAAGGAATGAAACCCCCTGCTCTTTCCTCTTGGAGCTGTACACATGTGGTCTGTGCGCAGGGTTTTTCACCCATCCAATTGGGCAGGCTCGGTGTGACGCAACCCCCACACCTTCCTTCGTACCCGGTGGTGGCGGCATTGAATACACAGCTTCTCACCCTCAACTTACCTCCATCACTTGATAAGAGAAAGAGACCAGGGCTTGAGGCTCACGGGAATCTCACCGAAGATGAAGGAAGCTGATGAAATCTCAGGAACCTCATCGAAGGGACCCCAAGCCTCTCACAAGCGGAAGGATACGGCCTCCACGAAAGTCAATCCTGCCAAAGTATCTCCGGCTGTGAAAAGCTCACCACAACCAACGATGGCAGCGACCACGTCAGAAGGGCCAGTCGTCGACAACTCAATTTTCACAGTCATCAACAGTGATGGCACAACTTCCTACTACACAAGCACCGGTGAGCTGATCGAAGGCGAGTTTTCAAGACACACCGAAGCCACAAAGGAAGTCACCGATAGCGACCGTGTCACAGCAAAGGGCGCGCTCAATCTACGCTCAAAGAAGACTGAGAGAATGAAGCGGAAACTTGAGAAGAAGACTGCAAAGTCCTCAGCTCGCCGGACAACTCAACTCCTCGACCTTCCCAATGAGACTCTTGTCGATATTATCAGCAACATGCTTCCCAGCGAGGTTTTGAAGACTGCCCAGACCTGCAAGACACTCCGCAAGCTCATCCAACACAACGAAAAGCTTCTCTCGCGCAAAATAATCTCTCAACGATACCCTGTTCTTTCCAAGTGCTTCCGGCTCCCAGTCACACTCGACGAGATCGACCCAGAGCTTCACCCAGTCCTCAAGAATGACGCCAGAATCGACATGCTCGGTATCCACCGGCGATACGTCCACATCCCTCAACCCGAGCCCTACGTCTTATGCACCTGCCTCACCTGCGTCTTGCGCTGGCAGGCCTGCTGCATCATTGTCGACTTCAACAAGTGGCGCCCCAACCTCGACTCCGGGGTTCCCATTACCATCATGCGTCGGGGTCAAGACGCGTCGTGGAATATGGTCTGGAAAGACAGAATCACAGACACTGTGCTCCATGCCATCCGCTCCCCGCTCGCCTACGCTCACCTCCTCGAAGTCCATCTCAACAACACCTGTGCCGCGATCAAGAGGCAGAAAGCGAACAAGGGTAACCGCCGTCGCCACTTTGAGATGTCCGAGGCCGACGCGGAGTCTCTCACAGACGCCTTCTTGGAGGGGAACGGTCCGCCTACCATCGATCTTCCCTACTCGCGAGATAACTATTACATGCTCGAGGCGTACATGCCCGCCAGAACCTGGCTCAAAGACGAAGAGAAATGGGTCTATATCCCGGCGGACTTTCACGATAGAGACCTTGATTGGGTCGCGAAGCGATGGGGTCCGGAATGGGGCGTCACACATAATCGGGACAGGCCTAACGAGCAGATGATGGGACCGGCTTAGAAGGCTAAAAGGAACCTTGATTCTTACCGTACACATGCCATGTGCCACGCTCGTCATCATCCGACGGACTATAACGGCCCGCTGATTCCTGAGTCGGAGATGTGCAAGACCAGCGTGGCCCACCCAGGCGGCAGAGTAGAGGAAATTTCCTTTGCTCTGGCCCTGTTTTAGAGGCAGTTTCGAAGGTTCTGGGCGTTTGTGAGGGTGGTTTGTGGTATGAGGGGAGGGCACTGATCTTTTGGTACCATGGACTACCTTACCTAATGGGAAGCGGGCAGTGATTGGGAGCTCCTAGAAGGGAGGTCTCATTTGTCACACGACTTCACATGAGCGACGAAGATAATGGTTACGATGAGTACAATGAATTTCATTGAGAAAAAGAAATCGGGCCACTAAATAACCTTGTCGTTCGTATCTCCTTCGGACCCTCCTTGCTGTCTTCCCGACCTCCCTCACTATGAACAAAGACTCGTCAAGAGCAAGCACAGCCTTGGCTCGTCTCTTCCATGGCCTCACAACCGAGTCTCGGGCCTCTTCGTAAAAACACAATCCAACTTTGCGGGCTTAATAATTAGCTGGAACTTGGCTTCTTCCTCAAACGTCTCGCCGTCTTCTCCAGGGGCAAATTCAAAGTCATAGTTCCAGAGAGTATAGGCAATGGTTAGCCGCAGAACGTTCCAAGCCAGACGCCTTCCTACACAGTCATACCGACCTGGACACCAGATTGTCAGCTGTTCCATTCTTCCTATGCTTTACGCGACATATCCTTACCGTAGCTAAAAGGCAAGAAAGCCCTCCGGTCAATGACCAACTCTGGGCGAGTCGTCCAGCGCTCGGGTATGAACTCATTAGGGTACCTCCAGTACTTGTGGCCTATAGTGATTATCAGCGATCAAAGTTTGTACATCCCACGCAAGTTTCTGGACTTACTTCGATGATAGCAGTGGATTGGCGTACATAAAGTCACGTCTCCAGGGATGTAGGTCCCATCAATCGTTACACCCTCCGACGGAGCCATTCTGGGCCCATTGATCGGCGCGGGCGCATACATCCGAAGGGTCTCGGCGATGACAGCTTCAAGCAGATCAAGCTTATTGAGGTCCGTCACAGCGAATTCCCCTTCCAAAGTCTTGGAGTGCATAGGCGCAATCTCTTGGTAAAGACGCTGACGGAGTCCGGCGTCGCGGGCGATGTAATAGAAGGCGTACCCCAAAGTGCAAGATATTGTGTCTCTGGCCTTTAGTGAGCATGTGTATTTCTCCAAACAAGAGTCCCCATATATACGTACGTCGCTCCGATGAGGATGGCTTGAGAGTCGGAATACATGATATTGACATTGAAGAAAGACTTTGGTTTCTCAGACTTATAGTCGTCGAGGAAGTACTTCAACATATCGTGAGATTCATCAGAATCAACCTATTCAATCATCAGCTATACTTCACCATAACACCTCTAAGTAGGTCTTAACTTACGGCGATCCTCTCATCTACAAGTCGAACCCCCAAATCCTCAAACTCCTTTTGCATACCCATCCGCGGCAGCTTCGCCAGGAACACGAGCGGCCAAGGCGTCTGCCCCAGTCGAGCGCCCAACTTGAACGTCGTCTCAATGAGGTCGAGCATCCTATCCTCTCTGCCGTCTCGGACGGTACCGAAGTCTCGGCCGTAGCCTACACGGCCCATATTGTCAAAGGGGATGAGTTTCGCGTAGTGCGAGGCATTGATTGGCTTTCCTTGGACTTCTTCGAGGCGAGATAGCCAGGTTCGGAGGACGGTGCGGGTTTCTTCTTCGTATCTTTCGAGGGCTGGAGGAGTATTAGCATATTCAACCTTTCCTTGGACAAACTCCCTGAAGATTTGAGGCCTAGTGGAATGAGAGGGGATGCGGCATCACCTTTGCTTCCTAAAGCTTGGTCCCAGACTTTACGTCTGTCACGGTGTACCTCGTTGTGCGAAAGAGAATCCAAGTTCAACTCTCCCTTTGTCCTCAAGGCGTCGTAGAATCCGGTATTTCGCTTGGTGCACTTTGTCTGTGGTCCGTGGATCTTGGTGATAGCGTCTAGGTTGACGACTGAGATGTCGTTGGGGCCTGGGGTCCTGTTAGCTGGTACTCAGCCTCCATTATCACCAGCGCTGGCTCGAGTTATTGGGTCCTCACCAACACGCACGAAATCTCCGTGCTTCTCGTGCATCTCGAGATATTTTTCATGCAATTTCCAATCTCTGTTGAGCCACATGATGTAGGGCTTCATAATTCTGGCCGGAAAAGGACCGGGAAACCGGCGCAGAGGGTGGAATATTAGGCGGTATACCACGATACTGGTAAATAGGCCTGCAAAGTAAGAGCTGGATATTGCAAGATGCGCCGTTGTACCCGTTGCGAATCCCAGACTTGTGACGGACTTGATGAAGAGAAGCATTAGTGCGACGCCGTGGATGACCAAGATATTGAACACCTCCATGCTCCTGTGCCCGCGGATATAGTAGCCCCAGTGTGCTAGGAGACCAGCTCCCGCCGCCAGGGCGCAGGGTAAGCCAATGCCGGTGCCCAGTGTGGCGCTCAGTGCAGATAAAATGTTTTCCATAGCGGCGTGTTTTCACGAGTCACTATTGTTTGCGGGCCTTAGTTATCAACATGGCGAGCTGTGAGGTGTTCAGGGCGGTGGAGCTTAAGTATATCGTCCGCCTAAGCTTTCCCCCTCGGGTGCCGAGGCCAGGTTACTTCGGCCGTGCAGTATCCAGACCATCTGATACACCAGTTACAGTTCCGTCTTGGGCGACTTTGGGGTAACGCCCGAAGGATGTTCTCATGGGGCAGCCCTGTAACATGTGCAAAAGTTCGACCGGCGGCCCGTCGGATACCAGAGGCTAAAGGTACCTAAGGCACTATTCTAGAGATTAAATGCTGCTTTCTGGCTGAAGCCTTTGCTTCTAGTATGAAATGTAGAGTTGGGTGGTAGGACTTCCCCGCATCTCTACCACAAAAAATGCTGTAGAGAAGTAGAGATTGCGACGACTGAACGGGATCTAGATTCCGAGAGAAGGGATTAGCTCCTCGCACTTCCAAAGGTTGGGATGTTGAGAAACGAAAGGGATGCCTCATAGTTTTTTGTTCATGCGGTGTCGTCCACAGTACTGACAATTCTCACTTTGGCCTCGAGTCCTTTCCTCGTGCTACAGCATAGCACGACAAGTGATAGCAGCGATAGAGTGGGCATTCGAAAACGGTGTGTACGCGGTGAGGCATGTGGTTTGGCTCTAAGTACCGTAGCTTTCTCTGGCTCTTCAAATTCCCCCTTGAATCTTTTCACAACACATCACCATCGTCTGCTTAAGGAGGTAAATTTTGAGTGTGGTCTCGATAGCGACAGTGCACCTTGGCCTTGAGACACACGAAAAGGCATGGCAATGTATTCTGACTGCGCAAGTTACCAACGGCCCGTCGGAATAATCTAATCTTCAGCATTTTCAAGGGAGGCAAACAGCCATCCCGTGCGAGTGCGAACTGATCAGACATGCATGTGGTTTTGTGCAATGACGTAAGGTAGTGTGTCTTTGATGTATGTCGATTACTAATCTGATTGTTGAAACTTTGAAGCTTTGAAGCTTTGAAACGCCTGTGCCCTTGAAATCATGTTCCCGCCGTGGTATACAATTCTAATGCATGCAAATCATTCCGTAAAAATCGTCGTAAGTCACCCCCGAGTCTACCAGCGACCACCGCGGCCTCCCCATCCTCCACCCCTACCGCTGCCGCCGTATCCATGTCTGCCGGGTCCGCCAAAGCCGCCGCCGCCGAAGCCGGGTCGGGGGCCGCATGGTCTAGGTCCACCCATCATGCCGCCGCCGTGATGGCCGTGGTGGTGGGTCTGTACGATAACTGGGCGGGGGCCGTAGCCAGGACCGCCGTAGCCACCTCCGTATCCTCTGCGTCTCGACAGGCCGAAGCACATCTTGTGTTGTTTGCAAAGATAGGCTGAAGGTAGTTGAGCTTGCAGGTTGTGAAGATTTCGTTGACTTTAGGTCTGCCGCAGGTAATTTGATTGTGCGACTTTGTCGTAGTTGGTAGTTGCAATGTCAACTGGTAGGTTGAGTGTTGGTTGGAAGTTTTTGAGTTTGGATTTGGTTCTCAATGAGAGGCTCAAGTGTTCTTGTAATTGTGGTTTGTTGTGATGATGAATAGGACAATCAGTTATGATGAAGGGGAGAATCATTCCACTTTATAGATCGCCTGCTTGATGCGTTCATCTGCCCAGCATAGTGCTGCCAGACCCTTCATGCGTCATTTCGTCCCGACCGGAGAACGCTAAGTTGCCAATGCCCCCAGCCTACACTAGGATAATGGAAGCAACTTGGCTCATGTCACCATGTCATGAGGGGCCGCGCAATCGGTCTCCGCACGGAAGACAGCGAAAAACCTAGTCCCACGTCACTGAGAACGCCGCAACCAGCGCCCCCAAGTCGCTAAACGGCTCGAGCGGCCGAAGGCGAAGCCTTAGAAGAGTCAAGGTCCATCCCAGACAACGTGATTGTGGCTTTAGGTGCTGAGCCACAATGCCTTGTGCTGTTGTTGCTGGACCTCGGCCAATGCCGAGCCACACCGAAGGGCCCCGTTGAAGAATCCCGAGGTGCCGCCACATTCCGATACATTGGTGCGGACCCGAGCGTCTTCGTGGAGTGACCAATTGGGGCGCCGTTGGTCTTCGGCGCCGGATGGCCGGCATGGTTTGGCGCCGCATTTGGTGTGCCAAGTTCGCCGAATCGGCTTGGTGCCTTGGCTATCGTCTGTTCTTGGATTTTCTTCAGCTGCTATGTGTTGAATTGGTCCCTTTCTACGGTTCTTGCTGAGTAAAAGTTGCTGAGAAGTCTTGAGTCGAGTCGTCCGATGCCTCGGTTTCCCTTCCAACGTCATTCTGGAGCTGGGCCTGTTGACTCAGAAGTTCTAGAACGTAGTCTAAAGACTTGCGGATTGGCGGGATCGTCGCTGGGGCACAAGCGATGCTTGGATGCACTCTCGTGCCTTGTTCGCCCATCTAGCCAGGCAGGACCATCTGATCAATCGCCGCAACTTGGCCGATGGGTCAAGTTGAATGAATTAGGATATAGGAATATTTTAATCGCGTCATGGTAAGGCCTTAGACGTGGCATAGACTTAGATACCATTCTAAAGCTGCAGCATAAGCTGAGAAAGATTGCCGAAAAGAAAGGAACGCATGCCTGAGCCAGAATGAGGGGCGTGCATCAGTTAGATTTAATCTTCATTGCATGATTATCACCGCTTCCCGCATGCCTTCCTCTTCATCCATTATCTATGTTTCTTCGAGGTTTGGGTGGTTCATGATTTCGAAACTTGTAAGCCCCCTTGAACACACTGAACGACGCCCACCAACGCTCCAAGCACCAAAACCAGGATTGCCAACCAGAAAGTGCACCAAATGACCCTGTTCCGCCGGTCATACCACCATTGAGCCAGCGTACGAGGAGTGGCATCATCGTACGCCTGCTTGAGGACAATCAATCGGTTCCTCCAGAAGTTGAACCTCTCGATCCTTCGGGCTTCCGCGTGAAGTGTGCCGCTTGCGCCAAGTCTCCAATCAGCTGGAAGACACGGCTGTTTGGAAAGCAGCTTTTGAAGCCATGACGACCGACGACGTTTGGAACATCCCAAACCCCCAAATTCTGCCTCGGGGAATAGCAATTGCAACGTATCTTCAGTCTCCTTGAGAAATACCTGAGGGTAGAACGAACTAGTTTGGCATTGGCATCAATATGAATGTATCCATCAGTTATCTGCGAGGAGCTCCATTACTCGCCTTTGATGGCATCGAAGGAATGATACATGGTGGAATATCAAAACTCTCAAATCATTCTCGTCCTCTATCAGCAACAGGTGGTCGGCTAGATTGTCTGTTAGTTCAATCTTGATGCCCCCAATTGTGACTAGACTCCACGCATTGAAGCTCTTCGGGAAACGGATCCCTTCAATATTGAGATGAGGCAAATCCTCTAGGTGAGACCGTACGCAATCCTTCAAGGAACCAGAGCCCCAAAGAAGGTAATGGTCAAGAGATTCCTCCCCTTCAACAGGGCCGAATCGAAGCATGAGCAGGAGGCGAAGAGTGAGATTGATTGTGGTATCCACTGCTTTTTGATCTAATATTTGACGCTGATTAGATTTCAAATAAGCATCTATCTGGCCTCTTGTGATTGTGTCTGTCTTGAGGAGATATTGAATTAGAGAGCTGAGCTCTGTAAGACTGTTGAGAGTTATGTAATGGCCATTGAAATATCCCGCAATCAAGCCCCACTGACGATGGCAGTAGTTCTTGTACGCCGATGTACCACACGGACCTCTTGTGGGTGATCTGCCAAATTGAGCGTGAACGTCGGGTTTCGGAGGGCTCCAGAGGAGACTGACAAGCTTTTCTGCATCGGGTTCTCTTAATTCGATCATCGTAGCATAATGCAATCATAGAGGTCTACAACATGGATGAAGAAATGTTTCACGACTGTTGGGTTATCCCTACCTGATATTATAGTTAGGAGTCAGCAGCCAGTTCTTGGGCTTAAGGGAAACCTTCCACGCATTGGATGTCTGTGATTATTGGCGATGTGCGACCACTAATGCCTGGTAGCCGCGATTAGGATGTACAGTCCTTTTCTTTCATGAGAATTTCCTTCCCGCACAACTGTGCGGCATGCATGGTCATAGCCAGTGATTGTCCGCAGCCTCTCCCATTGGGCGAATGCAAAAATATTGGCGCCCACCATGCGAAACAAACTATTGAGTCTTACCGAAATCCATGATTCTGTGGACGCCGCCTGAGAGTAGCGCTATTCCGTCGACCAATGAAGTTTCAAGAGGCCATAAATATTGTTGCACTTTCCGCCTCACTTCTGAAGTAGGTAGGATTTGCCAGGCAAAGACTTGTTTGGTGTTTTTACACTTCCATTTCAGCCCTTCCATCCCATTGCTCTCGCATTTATTAATCATATCAAACGTTGAGCTAACAATTCAAGCATCGTCACCGAACGTCTCAGCATTCTCTCAAATTATGCCTCTCTTTCGACGGTCCAGATGGAGAGATCCAGAACACTCTTGCGGCAGGGTCATCGTTAACTCTGTGCTTACACGTAAGAAAGCTTGGTACGCTGAAGGACCTGCACTCAGAAAGTACCAAGATGACATTGAAGGCATCGTTCACGACGTGTTCAAGAGCATTGGACTTGATCGCCCAGAGGTCTACTTTCGTTTATACATGATTGGTTCAACAACAAGGAGCTCTGAGCCGACGATAATGGTCTGTTGCATGAACAACGCTATTAGATCTCGGGTCAAAGACGAACTGCGAGGTAGCCAAGCTCTTCAAGCTTTTTCGGAATTCCAAATCCACGGAATTCCACATCCTCTGGAACAGCGAACCCCAGCACAAGCACTAGCGAGAACAAGCTCTCCCAGCATTCTCCCAGAAAGCTCAAATACAGAGTTCCTGTATGACAACGATGTTTATTCTCACTCGGCTTCGCTGAAAATAGGACGAAGCCTACTGCGCTGCCGACATGCTGGAGAACTCGAATACTGGGCCACGGGTGGAATTTTCCTACTAGTCAACGGCAACCACTATCAGTTGACTTCGGAGCATGAGTGTGATAGTCCCTCCGCGGAAGGGAAGATCATATCACACTTCGACCTAGACATCGACACGCTTTCCGTAAATGGAAGCGACGATGAAGATTATGGCCAGTTCGATAATGAGGAGACGTTGCAATCCAACTTTGACATTCTGAGCCAAGGGAGCATCACACCTACATCTCGCTTTTCACGAAGCTCGATTTCACTTGCTCAATCCGCCGACTCTTACTGGGACGAAGAATCTGCGGGCGGTGAACTTGTCTTGAGTCACGACGGTAGGGTTTCACGTCCCTTGAATGCTGATACCGCTTCTACCCCCGATAAGCTCAGTATCCCTCTTCATACCAACCACGCATCTCAGTTTCACAACACCTTAGATGGCCCGACTTATCCACAACCTCCAATCCGAATAGGCTTCATCGCCTTTCGGGCCAGTGAAGGCTCTCGTCATGAACTTGATTACGTCTTAGTTTCGACTCCTGCACCCATCGTGTCTGACTTCTCTAACAGAGTTGTTGTACCCCACGGATACGGATACAGATGTGTCAATGTTTGTGACGTGGCATCGGCCGGTCTTGAAACGAAGGAAGTCTTTCTGATAGGGGACGCCAATGTAGTCCGCAAAGGCTTCCTTGTACCTGGTACTACTCTGTTCCAGAACCCAAACTTCAACACAATTCAAAGGCTGCAGATTGTGCAGCTTTATGAGGGTGAATTCACTCAGGGTGACTCCGGTACAGCTGTCATAGACCAACAATCGGGTGTCTTCTACGGCCACGTCATTAGAGGATGCCCGGGTAGCGAAACAGGCTACATTGTTCCAGCCGCCGAAACCTTCCAAGATCTATCGTCTATGGGATTATTTCCTAAACTGAAATTCGAGAACATAAATGTTCAGAATCACAATCGACAGAATAACACACATCAGGCATTAGCACACGGCTTCAAGGCCAGAGTCACGATGAGAAATGCATCAACTCAGACAGAGTGGCGGCTACTGCCGACACCTCCGAAATCTAACATGAGCCGTGTTCCCATCAGTATAAGCCATTCACCCTCAGACTCCGTTATGCTGATGGAAGAGCTTGCCCGAGTGGGCGATGGCATTGATGATGATATCTGGGCCTCGTTTGTTGGCCCTTATCAAGAACGGTCCTCACACAAAACCAACTTCCTTCGTGATTTTTGTCGAGGAGCTACAGTCGAGAATTTGAGTCAAGTTAACTCCCCTAGTTTGAACATCTGGATGGATCAAAGGGGGTACAGGAAGCAAGACACTTCGCCTCGGCCAAAAGTTATGAGCGCCGACCACCTGCTTAGAGTGTTGAAGCACAAGGTGAGTGCTACTTTTGACTGTCACTATAGCTGAACAAATTCTCACCGATTTGTAGCGTTCGAATACTGGGCTGCGCGGCATGGACAACGAAAGGCGCCTGATGTATGATCCAATTATGCGATCCAACAATTTACGTTCATGGACTCACTATTTCAGTTATATAACAGATTTTGACCGTTGGGCGGCATTGGTGCTCGCTGCGACAAGTTTCCGGACAGAGCGGCGAGCTCTTAGAGATGGTATATTCAGGCATCTCACATTTCGTGCTCATTTTGATTTTGCCTCAGATGTGAGTTGGTGTATAACCCTCTTCGTTAAAGTACATGGTCTGATATTCTCAAGATGCAGCGAACGTCGTCTGCAAACTTTTGTTTGCAATTCCATCTGCCTTATTTTGCTTGGAGAAGGTCCATTGACATCATGCATGATCATCGAGATAGTGGCGTTTTGACGCCCCTTCGTCAGTGTATTAAGGTTTCCGGCCCCTCTTCTAGGAGTCAAGACCACCTGCAAGACGAGGACATTGGCTTCCTCTATCAAGCCCACGTATCATTCATCGTTCTTGGAAACGAGGAGAAAAGTTGGAAAGTGTTCTCCTTCGCCGACGCGTTTTTCAATGACGAATCAAGCTGCGACGCACTGGCCGAGTACGCATCTGAAGATCCAGAAGATCCATACGATTGTCCATTGGACCCCATAACCCTCGGAAGAGCTACCTGCGATCGACCGTTATGGAATCCTCGACTATACTTCTTTCGTGTATTCAGTATTCGTCTACAGTCTATCGGGGAAGAATGGGCGAGCCTCACGCTCCACTTTGAGGGTCAAGTGAACAGACTGGCAAGTCCATGACACCTGCGTGAACAAACTTAGACTATCCACTAACAGTCTCCCCAGCTTGCTCTCAATAAAGAAAAGCGTGCAGGTTTTCGGACAGGAGATAGTGCAATCGACTTCGACTGGCCTCGTCGCACTTGTAGTATTCTCGCTCAATTATTCTCAACACTGTCTGCCACATTAGACGACGTGCGAAAATACGAGCAGGCACTTGAGCTTTGCTTAAAATCATCGGAAGCTAGCGATTCGTCACATTACATGGATGCTGGGCTGGACTTGAAGACAACGTGTGACGGACTGAGCGATTGTCAACGCTCTCTAGGTGCCTTACGAGAGATACTGACTCTAGAACAAGACCATGTACGCATCGATCTGCCCAATCGTCGTAACGTTGTTGCCTTTGATTAACTCGTATATCTATAGGTTCAGGCAAACCGATCGCTTCATCTCGCACGTAATCAAAGTAAGGATTTGACCAGACTTTCTTGGGTTACTCTAGTAAGCTATTCCTCCTTCGTTCTCCTCCCGGTGTATCAATCTGACTCGTATCTAGGTGTCTCAACCATTGGTAACTGCTGCGGCCATATTTAGCTGTGGTGATATCGGACTTGCACTTCCTCGAATTTCTCCTCCAATTCTTTTCTTAGCCTTGCTGTTGTGCACCAGTGCAGCCATCGCAGCCATCGTTATCGCGGCTTCACGGAGAGCTTTAAGTAGTTCAGCCGAATCAGGGATTTCCCGGCCGCTTGTCGCCGACATGGGACCACAGAGAGACAGTGATGAAAACGATAATCGCCGTCATTCGCCCTTTTCCTTGCCGATTTTGGAGCTGCCTGCTCTTAGGCGCTCAGATATGTTGGCATTTGCTCCACGTCGCAAAGTTCAGTAGTCACGACCTCAGGCCTAGCAGAGACTTAATTGATTCACCAATAGCATAGTGCACTACCTGATTTAAGGAAGAGAAAGGATTCGGATGGTTCACGAGAAGTCAGGATACTCGGCCAATGACTGAGCCAAACGCATTCACGGCTCAGGGAAATGTATACTTTGAAGTGATCACTAAAGTACTAGTAGCATCTACACGCACGGGACTTTAGACAACAACATCAGCATAAGTAACTTCCTTTGAGAGTCATGTCGATCTATGAAAACTCATGAATGTGTATGAACAACAGCTTACGTGTATTCCAATCACATTGATCCTAGCGACAAGGGTTTTGTTCGCCAGAGATTTCACAAGTTTGACCCTTTAAGCTGCACACTTGACAAGACAACCCGCAAATCAACTTCCCTCCCAGGCAAGGTGTGGTCCTCGCGTTTCCACGATTTCCTCATCAGTAATTGCAATATAGTCCCGTTGTTGGACTAAGAATTCCTTGATTCTTCCGACATCCGTCGGCTGGTCTCCTGCGTGGTCTTCTACCAGAGTCCTGAGGAATGCCTGGAGCCGCTCCTGCACCACCTCAACCCTGTACTTAGCCCATTGGTAGTAAAGCTCCGAGTGCTCAGAAATTGGTCGAATGGATGTGAGGACTGAGTCGTCCTTCGTACAAGGATTTCGGGGACGGAAAGATGTGATCATTGTGATACGCTCGGCACCACCGATGGCTGCGAGTGCTTGATGTTCGACATATCTGCCTTGAAGAATGACTGCAGATCCCTACTAGAAGTCAACACATCAAATAATCAAATCAGCTGCATATGGAAGGATTGCACATACCATCTGCGGGCCCCTGACCTTGAGAATTTCGCCCGTTCCCGTCTTGATAGCTGTCTCCCCACCTACCATGTTCGTCGCATCACTCATCATGACAACACACACGAAAGGAAAAGCATCGTAATGCCATTTTGTCACGGAGGTGTTGTCCCCAGCATTCATCTGGGTGTTTTCCTGGTCGCCGGTCTTGCTCTGTACGGAGATGTTGATGTTGCCAACTTCGTACTGGATGTTGGGGATGAGATCCACCCCAGCGACTTGGGAAATGACAGACAAAGTCTTCGGATCGTTCCAGGCTTGGTTCATGAACGGCGCGTACCTGCCTCCTATGTGAGCTCTGCGATAACTTTTGACTCGTCTAAATGGTGAATAACATACTTTGGGCAGTGGCCACGCAACTGACAGGGCGCGAACCTGGTGCTGTGAAGGCAGTTCTCCCAGACCTCGGTCGTGAAGATCTCTCGTCTCATGTACTGGATGGCCTCTTCAGTAAAGAGAGGGAACGGCTCCGAGCAGGCCACTTGAGAGATTCCAATATCCTCGGGCAGAGAAACATCTTTGAGAGACAACTTCTTGGGATCGTTGACGAATGCAAGATGCTTGTCCGGGTTGAATGTTTCGGTTTTGGCTGGTGTAGCTGGATTCAGGTTGTCCTTGATGATGGGCGTGAAGCTGAGCTTTGCCAAAGGGGATGGAGTTGCGAACGCGATATCAGCCATAGCTGTATTTACAGTTGATGGGTCGGGGTTTATGAGTTCTCGTGAGTAGAGTAATTATGGCAACACAAATGTTTCGATATGTCTTGATAGCTACGATATTCTCTTCTCACCATAACGAAGGCCTCTTGATATAATTAAGAACTCAGAGGTGTGATGCACAGCTCATGTTTCACAGGCACAACGTTAGCACAGCCATCGCCGACGGTGTGTGTGCCACCTCGATTTTGTTGGGCATCAGGCCGCCTGACAGTGCCTCCGAGCCAAAAAAGATTGTCGATATCTCATCCAGGGCCAAGCAATGCATGCGTTCACGTGTGCCTCGTTTCATTGTTGTGATTCTAATCTTTTCGAGTAAGAAATTCCGCGATATCTGACATGCAACCATCTCGGCTTCTCATCATTGAGTGTGATGTTCACAAAGAAGCCGATCCGAGATCGCACCCGATCCCTGTCACCCGCGCCCCCGCTTGCGGTCATTAGTCCCGAGACCTGCTTGTCCCTCCGAACCCCGCACCGAAGACGCGCTTGGGTGTCCGGCTCTCATTTCAGTTTCCCTATCAAGACAGTATGTGGGACGTGGCACCGATGAACGACTACTGGTGCCATGAGACGATAAAGATGAATCCTGTCAACTACCTGGGCGAAATGCCGCGAATAGGAGATCGCTTCATCTTACACAGGTCCTTGAGCATCAATCGTTATCACCTCGCGCATCGACTTCCTGTCTGATATTCCCTCACAATGTCTTCCTTCGCATCCTCTTTGAAAGACCCTAGCCTCTTTGTCGAGAAGTCGTACATCAACGGTCAATGGACGTCGTCAGATTCTGGTAAAACCTTTCAGGTCACCAACCCGGCAACAGAGGAGCTCATCGGCACATGTCCTGAGTCAACCATCGGCGACCTCAACAATGCCATTGATGCCGCAGCCAAGGCATTCCCTGAATGGAAAGCATTATCCGGCCGTCAACGAAGCCGTATCATCGGGCGCATCTTCGACCTCTTAGTTGACAACCAAGCAGATCTCGGCAAGATCATCACCGCCGAGAATGGCAAAGCAAAAGCGGATGCCGAGGGCGAGGTGATGTTTGGAGCAAGCTTCTTCGAGTGGTACGGCGAAGAGGCCGCTCGGATCTACGGAGACATCATTCCCCACAGCAACCCGAATTACAGGACCCGGGTCATCAAAGAACCTGTCGGCGTCTGTGGCTTGATCGTGCCTTGGAATTTCCCTCTAGCGATGGGCGCTCGCAAGGTGTCAGCAGCTCTTGCAGCTGGGTGCACTGTTGTCATGAAGTCTGATGGACTTACACCGTTCTCTTCAAACGCGCTAGCTGTGCTTTGCGAGAGGGCTGGCGTACCTCCTGGAGTCTTCAACGTTGTCACTGCACTAGAAAACACACCTCATCTTGGGCTTGCTCTATGTGAGTCAGACGTCGTGAAGAAGATATCTTTCACGGGCTCGACAAGAGTTGGCAAGTTGTTGATGCAGCAGTCAAGCAACACCCTCAAGAAATTGAGCCTTGAGCTAGGAGGCAACGCGCCCTTCATCGTGTTTGATGATGCAGACATGGACATCGCAATTTCCAGCGTTCTTGTATCCAAGTTCAAGGTCACTGGCCAAACGTGCGTGTGCGCCAATCGGATTTTCGTGCAGGAGGGCATTTATGACAGGTTTAGTCAGAGGCTGGTGGAGGAAGTCAGAAAGTTCCGAGTTGGCAATGGCACAGACGCGTTGGTCACCCACGGACCCTTGACCAACGGCGTTGGCAAGGTTGAGGAGCATATCAAGGACGCCGTCGCCAAGAACGCAAAGATCTTGCTAGGCGGCAACCGATTACCATCAGCCGGCAAGAACTTTTATGAGCTCACCATCCTCGGAGACGTCGACGACTCGATGACAGTGACACAAGAAGAGACGTTTGGTCCCTTGCGGCTCTAACGAAGTTTTCAACTGAAAAAGAGGTCATTGAGAGGGCTAACAAGTCTGAAGTCGGACTGGCATCATATGTCATCACGAACGACCTAGCCAGGTCAACCCGAGTATCAGAGCTCCTAGAGTTCGGTATGGTTGCCATCAACACTGGTGTCATCTCAGATGCTTCTGCGCCGTAAGTAACCGTAATTCGAATCATCTATATATGAAATCTAACACTTACTAGGTTTGGAGGTGTCAAACATTCTGGCTTTGGCCGGGAAGGCAGCAAATATGGACTCGAGGACTACTTGACGATCAAGATGATCGTGATCGGCGGCATTAGCACGCGTCTATAGTAGGTTGTGACAAGTTGAGTGTGAGTTTGACTGTCAAATGGACTGCACGCTGAGATTCAATACGAAAGAAAGCCAAAGATTTTGACATGGTTACAATGCCACTCATGACCATCCGGTCACATTCTCAATTTTGTGTATCGCTAGAATAAATTTTCAATCCGCTTTTATGCTCGTTCCATTGCAGTCCCTCAAACAAGGTGCAGGGTTCCGTTGTTGTTTCCTATCCTCTCATCCAAGTTGACAGAGCTGCGCACCCACTGGCCGTTGCGGGACAGCTCGGCCTCGAGGACCTGGCCGCCCTGAACCAGACGGACATCCCGCGCCGAGGCGCCGAAGTTGCCGCCGGAGTTTCCACCGCGGCCGGGGACCTGAAGGACCTGACCGGGCCAGATCTGGTCCGGGTTGGGGATGTTGTTGTGTCTCGCAATCTCCTCGAATCCCACGTTGAATCTCGCGGCAATGTTGCGGAGGGTATCGCCCTGCTGAACGGTCACGGAAGAGTCACCACCACCGCCACCGCCAGAGGACCAACGGAAGCTGCCGTGGTCGTTTTCGAGAATTCTGTTCAAGCTGATGGTGCTGCTCTGCCACTCGCCATCACGGCGTTTGCAGGAGGCATGGAGGTTGTACTCTCCGTGGGCGTCGAGACGAATGTCTCTAGATGAGCCGGTGAAGCCACCGCCGTAGTTCCCACTGCGAGGCTTGTCGTCACCATGGCGATCGTCGTGGTGGCCGTGGTGATGGTCCTTGGGAGGAGAGTGAGGGCGGTCGTGGTCATGCTTTTGGTCGTGCTCGTGCTTCTTCTCCTCGTCCCGCTTGTCCTTCCAGTCGGACACACCATCTTGTAGCTTGTGTCCGGCGAAAGCTCCCGCAACAGCACCGATGAAAGTGCTGGTCTTACTGTGGCCGAAGTTACCGCCAACCTTGTGACCGCCGAAAGCGCCGGCAGCACCACCAGCGAGAGCACCGGTCAGGCCACGCTCGCCATCCTCGCCCTCCGGGCCGTTGGATCCCGGCGGGCCGTCATTGCGGTAGCCCTGGTTGCCGTAGTTGCCCTGGTTCTGGTAGGGAGGGGGTCCCGATTGGTGTTGAGATTGGCCGTAGCCTCCTTGCTGTTGTCCGTATCCTTCTTGGCCGTATCCATGTTGCGTGCCAAACTGCTGCTGACCTTGCTGACCTTGGCCATAGTATGAGCCGGCCTCGCCAGAAGCAGGACGGTCTTGTTGGTAGCCGCCCTGGTGATGACCTCCCTGCTGCTGGAAGCCTCCTCCTTGCTGGTAGCCACCTTGCTGGTATCCACCCTGCTGGTGTCCACCGTTGTTGCCGTAGTAACTCATGATGATTGGTTTTGTTACAAAAAATACAATTCGAACTTGGGTATTATGTTGATGATCAGAGATGTCTCAGAATCAGATGCTACGAGATCGAGAGCTAAGATGCGGGGAAGCGAAGGTTATATAAACTTCCTTGAGCCTCCAATAATGGATCAACGAAGCTTGTGATACATGTACGGATCTCCGTACCTAAGAATATTTACACCGCCGCCATGGTGGGGTGAGGCTTATGAAAGTCTCGACTCAGAATGTCCGCGCGTATCCTCTCTGTCGATCCAATCGGGAACACCGCGTCAAGGTTCACGGCCCACCGCGCAGACACAGCCCCGGGAGTCGGCACGGCTCTTGGTATGTAAACGAACACGTTAAAGTCTGGGCACTCTCGGGCCCTTGCCACGTAGCTTGTTCTGATGTTTCTAAAAGCTTCTGAACCAGGCCAAACAGACCCAGAGGGATGCACAATGGGACCATCAGGAGCCAAACGAGGCCCGCCACAAAGCCCCTGATTGTCTGTCAGGGCCCCCTTAACAGCGCCACGATGAGCTCTTTGCCCTGCATCTCAAGATGATAGGACCCTGCTGCCGCCCCGGGACCCCTTCCCCGCACAGTGGCTGGAGAGCAATGGCGTCAGAGGCCTTGAAAGGTATTATCCGATGTTGTTTACGTAGGGACCAGCCGAAGCAGTGGCAATTGGAAGCCACCGCAGTCATCGGCATGCAGTGCTCGGTACAATGCTTGCCTGTGAGGTATTCGCATTCAACAATTACCAAGAGCGCAGTGTAGCTATGAACGATGCAATTCTGCGAGTGCGAGTCCGATTTCCGGACATAAACACCTCGGAATTGTGTCGAGAACAGCGTTGCAGCCCGATATGTACACAGTACTGTATTCATAAACAAAAGGTTGTAAACTAAACCCGAGGACTCCGGGACGCCCGACTGAGTTTCATGTCGACCCTCACCAATTGCGCTAGGCGTCTGCGGAGCCCGACCTCATTCTCGTTACCCGCCATCGCCGCCTCGTGTTCATCGACTGCCGGGCGGATCCAAACCAGATCGGCGTGCTCGGGCCTGACGAACTGAGTGCGCTTGAGTATCTTCCAGCCGCAGAACAGACAGATCGCGAGAAGGCCCATGGTGTAATTGCTGAAGAAGATGCCAATATCCCACCGGCCCCGTAAGAAGATGGCATACCCATAGAAGATCTCCACCGCCATAAGCCAGACCAAAGCAACCCAAGTGCCGTAAGGCTGGAGATATCCGCGGTAGGGGAGATCGGATCTGTTGAAGTTCTGGGCTTTCAAAGCTCGGTAGAAGAAGAGATAGTTGATGCAAATGACGATGTAGGTCACCAGAGTCCCGCCAGTGATGAGATTTGTGAGCCTTTGAAGGTCAACTCATATTAGTGCATCCAGCACGTTGTCATTGGAACAGGCCGCAGTGAAGATGGATCATCAACTTACCAAGTCAAAACCTTCACGGAGCCACTGCCCAACTTTAGAAATGAGAGACAAGCAAAGGCGAGTGCAACAAACAGGCAGTAGATGGGAACACCTTGCTTGGTGCATTTTGTAAGAAACTTCGGAGCGTGGCCATTCAATGCTAACCCATAAAGACTGCGAGAAGAGCAGTATACGTAGGCGTTGCCGGCCGAATAGATACTCGTCAACAGTAGAGCGTTGACTAAATGAGGTAGCACCCCAACGTTCATGTTCTTCATGGCAATGACGAAAGGTGAGGCGGCTCCGGTGCCCGTCTCGCCCGAGCTCAGGACACTCAGGAGCGTCGGATCGTTGGCCGGCAAGATAATGCCAACACACAACGCGCCGCCAATGAAAAAGAGCCCGAATCGCCAGTACACGGATTTGAAGGCTGCTTTCATGGTTGATCGCGGCCGCTGCGCTTCGCCAGCAACGGTGGCCAGGTATTCAGGGCCGACAATGGTGAAAGCGGCTTGCCATAGTGCGGCGAGAAACCCATGGAAGCGGCCCAAGTCGCCATCGTCAATGTACTCAACAAAAGGACCCTGTTCTTTAAGTAAGCGATATACGATACAACATCGACAGGCGTGAAGGAGGTCATGGTGTCATACAGGCTTGGACCAATTACGGAATCCGTATGCATCACGCTGCGGATTACCTCCAACCATAGTGATGAAGGTGAAGAAGAACAGTATTCCAATGAGGAGAAGTTTACCCCCTGCGAGCCAAAACTCTGTTTCACCAAAGTACTTGACCATGAGTGCATTGCAAAGGCTGACCGGGGGCAGTTTAGTACTAGGATATCCTTCGAGTCCAACTGACAAGATAGTACATACGCGTAGAGCACAATGCAAACGGTAATAACCGCAGCTGAAGGGATGTCATCTCTCCAAAAGGTCAAGACCATGTCCAAAGCGGTGATCTCAAACGGTATGAGAAGCGCTTCGAACAGGAAGAAGTTCCAGCCGATCATGAAACCCCAAGCATCATCAACCCAGGCACTGGCGTGATGAATAAATGCAGCGCTTATGGGCATGAAGACGGTCATCTCCGCAAGTGAGTTGTTGACTTGGGCAATAACCAAGGCGTGGAGCACGAATGCAATGAGTAGACTTGCCGCTCCTCGCATGAGCCCGTACCCGATACTCACAAATAGGGCAGTCCCAATAGAGCCACCGATAGCTACGAATTGGACTTGTCGGGGAGTAAGATGTCGTTGCAAATGTTCGGGAGTGTGTAATATTTCCCCATTGACAACTTCAGTCTTGTCACTGGTTTTGGAATTCATCTTTGTGACCGAGGCCTTTGGCTCTGAGGTGATTGACGGGGAGCTCATATTGCCCAGCAAAGCAGAGTTGACACAATGCTGATGATGATGGAATAAATTCTGAGATACTTCGGATCTAGAGATGTCTGGAGCAGGTTTGAAAAAGATATGTGAAGTTTGAATGGCAGACGTCTTGGATTAGGGGGCTCCTGAACTTAAGAATACCAGGAAACCTTAGCGTGGGCCATCGAATGTCACTGAGAACAAGGAAGAGATTCAGGACGACCTATCAATAGTTGCCCATTACAACCTACCCCGGATTGGTCCCATCGTTTCGGACACGCAATGCTCGGACGCTAGGCATGGTCTCGGGCATGGGTTCAAGGTAATATGCCTGGTTCACCGAGGACTCCACAGTATTCTTGTCCGCCTCTCTAACCCCACGAGAAGGCACGTGGATTACTCTAGTACCTTATGTTTCCTTCAACACTCTGACTTGTAGTTGCGATCAGTGTGGATTCCCGTCTCGGAACTTGTTTGATGGCAGCTTCTCGCGCACTGAATTCCCAAGTTGAAGATGAGCAACCTTCGGCATCGAGCTCCTCCGCCAGAATCTACCGAGAAAGGATTTGCTAGCCTTGTGTGGGGTAAGAAGCTGAGGATAGACAGAGACGCAGAAACCATCAGGTTCAGCTTTAAACGACGATCGCCTTGTGGAAAGTCCCCATTCGGAAGATCTAGCCGGGAGGTGTGGGAATTAGTTAGTCTCGGGTGACATGGGTCGGGTATTCCGTTGCTGACAACGACCAACAGATCCGGTATTATCAACCTCGAATGCAGATGATAGGTACTCGGCGTCTCGTATACTAATGAAAGTCGATGGCTTTAATGGACTCTCTGATAACAGATTCGTGACGTTATGCTTCGGGGTCCACACCGGATATGGAAGTGTTATCATTTCGATGCCGAGGCGTATAGCTCACCATAAGGCAAATGGCACAAATACAAGGAGTCTTGACCGATTGTTCTACTCATCGACTGCCTTCTCAGATCAAACCTATTCTCCAACGTGAAGATTATAGAGAGGCAATGCAGGACTCTGAACTCCAAGAGATATCGTCAGCTCTTCGTGCTGCCCGTATCAGCAAAGAGCCGATTGAACCCCCAACCAAGAAGTGGACAAGTCTCGATCCGGATAGCGCCTTTGAAGTCCAAAAGGTCACCGTCAAGAACGCAGTTAGTCAAGATGGCGACAGAGTCGTTGGATATAAACTGGGCAACATCGCAAAGGTCATGCAAGACGCCTTTGGCCTCGACCAACCCGACTATGGCTTCCTCCTCGCGAGCACTTTCATCTTCGAGGGAACGACTCTGAGCCTCAAGGATTTTATCAAGCCTTATGTCGAGCTTGAGCCAGCTTTCGTCCTTAAAGGCCCTCTAAGAGGACCAAATGTCACTGTCGCCGACGTCATCAACGCCATAGACTACGCCATCCCCGCGATAGAGATTATCGACTCCAGGGTACGAGACTGGGCCATTGACCTCCCGGACACTCTGGCTGATAACGGATCAACCGGCGCCGTCATCCTAGGTGGTACACCCCGCCAACTTACCGATCTCACCTTGAGCAACACGAGAGGGATGCTACGTTTCAATGATAAGGAGGTCATGTCGGGCAACACCAGAAACGTGCTCGGAAATCCACTGTCTGCCGTAGCCTGGCTAGCGAATAAACTTGCAAGATATGATGTTGGGTTCGTTGCAGGGCAGGTCATCCTACCTGGTAGCTGCCTGCAGGCAGTGCCAATGCAGGAAGCTGGTCGCTGGTCTTGTACGTTTGAGGGATGGGGGACTGTCGAGTTCGATGTCGCTGAATAGATGTCATTGTATCATATTGGCAGGCAGGATCCAAGCGTATGAAGTCTTCTCGACAGATACTCGTAGAAATTCACAGTTATTTGATCACAGCCAGTATATACGGCGTCAAGGTAATTCACACAGTTTACCTTGCACCGGAACGCCTGAGAAATTTGCCTAAGCGTGACCTGCTGTAAGACTCGTCGTAAAGTTACCGGGCATAAGTTGGCAAAGGACCACCGGCTAAGAAAGATCCCCTCCCTACGAAAGTGGCGATTGTCAAGAAACACAGAGGCACGGGGGTTTGTGGTGGAACTTAGACGTCGTCCAGACATACCCGGAAGTGGTTAGCAAAAAGAGAGACAAACCTAAGATAGTGAACAGATACGCTGTTCCGAATCCTGATAAGTCACCCGAGGCCCTGGAAGCCGAACCGATCCCTGCTCCCGATCCCTGTAAACTAAGTCGGGTAACTAATGTAGCTCAATGCTGGAGACCCAAATCCAATCCATAGCTGTTATCGCGATCGCTTCCAGAGATAGCCCGTGTAGACCCTAAATCTACCAATTTACCGAGTATTTCAGTCCTAATTCCGTAATTGCTACGGATATTTCCACCTGAAAGAATTGGCAGAAGTGCCGAAGTCGAACTTAACTCGTGAGACTAGCTCCAGCTCTGTCAAAATGCTGAAGAACTGGGCTTCATCCAGCGCCTCTCCTGGCTCAATCCCCGAAAGCCATCCTGTCACAAATGCGGAGGAATTCTCAGCCAAAACAATAGATAGCAACATAGGATGACTGAAGGCCCGTTCGCTCTCTGAGAGCCCCAACCACTCACTGAATATGCGGTTGTGGTACCTTGAATGCCAATTCCAGCTGCATCCTCAGAGCTGCCATTCGTTAGCCGTAAATGCTGCTAACAACTGAGCTTACTCCCTAATACTGTTCTGATGATTTTGCGGGGTAAAATGCATGTAACCCCGCCTCTCGGCAAGCCCTGCCTGTCCAGTCTTAGCCTTTAGTCACACGACACTACCGGACACTATCTGATGGGTGGATGGCTGACGTTGTCGACCTCACTGTTATGTTGGCTTCCGTGATACGTTCGATGCCTTGCAAATGAAGTCGAAAACATTTCTTGAGTTACAACTTCATCCTCCCAGCCTCTGCATCCAAACTCGCGCAATTCTGCACCCTGGGAAATGTCGCCCGCAAGCAGAGGAACTAGAGACTCCGAGAGACGGAAGCTAAGGCGAACGACAAACGCGTAAATCCCAATCCTTATACCAATATCCTACGGGTGGAAGGGTCCACTGACCATATGCTAGATGTTTCAGCTGTCGACAAAGTAAGATCAAATGCTCCGGCGAAGAGCCGTGCGCAAATTGCCAGCGGCGTTTAATGAAATGCGAGTACTCGGAAGGAACAAACATTGCGGTCAATACCGAGAGGTTTGTGAAGGAATTCGAGATCTTACGACTCAAAGTCTGATGAAGTCTTTATCTGATGAAGTCTTTAGAAGCAGTTCAGGGCGGCAAAGGCGTGTCTCAGAACAACAATCCACACCAGGGAGCAAGCGATCTCGCGGTGCAGCGTTTGGATCCGATGACGAAGACTATAGTGATTAACCCAAAGCTCCTTTTCCAAACTGTGATGGTGAGCTAATTTATCAGTTCCAGATTCTCAGTCAGTCGAGTGTAGGTCATCTCAGTTGTATGACTCTTCCGAGTGCGTGTACACAAGCCCATTCACGTTGCCCTCTACGACTATCAAAAACACCCACAAGAATAAACGTAATTGGAGTAAGTGAAGGGCTGTGATTGAACAGGCAGTCATACTGACAATAATTGCATGAATAGTTTGGCTGGCTCCATCATCAACATGGTCTTTCACTGCCCGTCTCACCCTAATGATGGCTGAGAGAGTCCAAGTTGAAACCCCTTTCAGTGCACCTAGCTTTCTCAATGACGAAATATACCCCTTAAGGTGGAAAGCCTCGACGGTAGATGGACAACCAGACATCAGTGGACTTCCTTCCATTGACCATGCTATCTATCTCTTCAACACCGTAAAGTTCCATCTTGGTCAGAATTATCAACTTATTGACGAGACAAATTTTGTCAAGAATCTAGAAGAATTCTACTACGGCCTGGCATCCAAGAAAGCGGCAGAGTCACCTTTGTGGTTTGTACAATTCCTGCTCGTCTTATCCTTTGGGCAAGCTTTTCTTTCACGGTCAAAGGACTCAAAGGAACCGCCTGGTGCAAAGTTCTTCGTTCGTGCCATGGCGCTACTACCAGAGCCGAACGCCTTGTGGAAAGACAGTTTGCTAGCCATCGAGGTGTTGGCCCTTGCAGGTCTATATTTGTATTCGATTTATCAGAGAGAATCTGCACAATTATACGTGAGTCTACATACAGTTTTGTCAAGTAATTCATTCGAGCCCCATCTGATTTCCTTTGGCAGATAGCTCAAGCGATTCGGATAGCCCAATTGGAGGGTTTGCACACCCAACTTCCTGAGGATGCACTCGGAACTCAAGTGGTCGCTCGTTGTCGCAACCTCTGGTGGACTTTGTATATTATGGATCGACATTTTTCCTGCTCTGTAGGAGTCCCCATGAACACTCAAGACGCAGACATTACCACTGTGCTTGACCCCCCGAGTATATGCTCACAGCGTGACGCAACGCTTGGTCTCCAAGTCAAACTCTCGCGTTTGCTATCATCAATCATTACTAGTCAGTCCCATCTGTTCCCATAGAGATTTGTACTAATTTTTCGGCTTTGAAGCTATCTACAGGTCCGAGAAGACTCCACTTGGGGAGTTCCTTACTTCGACAAAGTCCATCATTCATGCCTTGGCTGGTCACGCACAGGAGATTGAGAAGATAACTCGATTCAAGTTCCAAAACTCGGTGGATGCCATGCCGAAAGGAACAAGAAGCATTACCTTGCTATACCATCAGGTGAGTTGTTGCTTTTTATTTTCATTCAGTCATCTTCCGACTGACAATCGTCTTCTTGGAGTGTGTTATCATGGCTACGAGGCCACTTTTTCTATCCGCTTTAAAACAAGAGCTTGAGAATTTTGAGTGGTGTGGAAGAGATCCACAAACCTTCTCAGCTCCCTTGAAGACTCTGGTCGAGACGGGCATTAAATCAGCAGTGAAGAGTCTTCAAATTCTGTCTGGGGATGATAGTCTATTAGGTAAGTATGAGTACAATCTGACCGTTTCTTTGACACTACGCACGACTCCAAATAACCGTCAAACCACCAACAGAAGTCTTTCTTCCATTTGAGTTGGAATATGCTTATGGAGCTGCCATACACTTAACAATGGCCAAGGCACTCTTCCCAGCGGTAATAGGCGACGATGGACTGTCTCAGATGGAACAGACACACAACATCTTGGATGACATGATCAGTAAAGGAAACTTGGTGGCAGAGGTTCGAAAAGCAGAGTTGGTCCATTTGGAGACTTTGTTTCGCGAATTCACGCGGCGGGTACGCGACCAAGACTTTGAAGACCGTATCCACTCACATACTACAAGGCGTCAGTACATCCGTCCCCAGCCTTTCTCTCGTCTCTCGTCTTTCTCTACTTTCCTCTCTATCTCTGCTCTTAAATGGGAAGGATTGAAGGAAATATAGCCAGACAGATATGATTCGTCATTATCCTTTAGGAAACTACGCACATATGTACTGACGCCATCTAATAGTTAATGGGATACCATCGGGCTCAATTGAAGCAGTCATCGATCCTATCACAACTCAAACTTTTGTCAGCGAACCTGACTTGGTGTCTACGACGACGGTGAGTGAGTCGCAGCCGCTCGCGAGTGTATTTTCGGATACACCAGATAACACCGAGTTTCTGGAGACTATCGGTATCTCTTCGGATGACTTCCTTTCAATCGTGGAACAGATGGGGAATGAAAATGATCTACCGTTCTCAATGTTGGATTTAGGACAATTTTGGAAGTGATCAGTGGCGCGCAGAAGGCAGGAGCTTCTATGTTTGCTGGTGGACATCACAACGGATCAGACTCTGTTGAACTACTTCCACAGTCTCATTGTATAACACATTATTGATGAACGCCATCTTCATCATTACAAAGGCCCTCGATCGCTATAACTTGAAGTCTTCGTTCATTCCGTCTTTTTTCGTATATTTTGGTTAATTACCAACCCGTGTGGTAGTATCCGTCCCAACTTTGATGATGCTGAACGTGGGGCTGTTGCATGTTAACTGGCTGATACACAGGGCTGTGTTGGTATCCAGAGTTCTGCTGCCACATAGGCGTTTGCACCTGCCCAGGAGTCGCTGGCGAAGATAACGTTGTGGATACAGACATTGCTGACATGGTAGAGGCGTGCTTCATGTCGTACATCGAACCTCTGTCGAGGAGAGGAACTCCCATGTTCTGGTCAGGTTGCGTGACATGGGTCGCGTGATAGTCGGCAGGCATATGGCCTGACAGACCCTCCTCAAGTCCGACTAAGTAGCCAGTCAGTAACGTACGTAAATAGCAGCATCCCGTTGTAGACTTACAGATTAGTATGTACAGCAGCTCAGCCATGACTGGTACCCAAGCTGCCAGAGCAAGAACTTGTCCAAACGTCCACTTATCGTTCTTGTCAATGCCATCAGCCGCGTTGATGATCTTCTGGCGGAAGTGAGTAAAGTAGCCTAGTATGCCCCACATGACCAGCAGGTTGATCCAGGCGACCAACATTCGCCAGCAAGACCGCCATCTCTTGACCCAAGGCTTATCGATCATGCCGGGAATCTTAAATCCAGTGGTAACAAACAGTGTCAGGAGGAGCCATATCATCGGCAGCGCAATGACCAAGAACTGAGTGGCTTTGACGACGGGCCAGTACTGCGAGCCACGTTGATCGCAGTCAAAGTTTCTGTGCCCACTCTTTCGTTCCTTGTAATCTATCTCCGCCCTTGGCGCCAGATACACCACCGTCACGCTCAAACCCCAAAGGAGGCCAAGGACAGATCGATGAAGCCACTTGCGATGGCCATCGTGCTTGGCTAGCGCGTAGAGCAACATGACCGGAAACACAGAGTAGTTGGACGCGATCAGTGCCAAGGCTTGCTCGTAAATCGCATCCGCTGATGGGAGGTCGGGGTTGATCTCCGATCTCTCCTTGAAGTTTGTAGCGGCCGAGTAGACGGAAGCTCCCAACATGGCCACTGCGATCAGCATTGAGCCGCTGAGGAACATGTCGAGCGATCCGCGGAACGAGTCGAGAATGCGACCGCTCAGTCTTTGTTTTTGCTTCGGTCGCGTCTTCTCCCAGAGGTTCTTGTTGAAGTGGCGTCGTACTTGATGAATCGTGAATGCGACAAGGTACATCGTTGCTAAGATGGCTTCGAGGTAGTAGGATACCACCACCTTCACTATGTTAGCCAATAGATCTTTGCACAGCATAGCGACTTTAGGCGTTCTGTTCTTACTCCAATACCGCAGAGATCTTGGCTTCCTGTATATCCGACGGCCTTGCAGAATTCGGCCTCACAATGCTCTTTTGGGCCCCATAGAACGGTTTCATTGAATCGTGTGCTGAAAAGATAGTATGTGGGATCGCTCGAGTTTTCCGGGTATGGTGTATGATACATATTGTAGGCGAACCAATATGATACGTCGGAGTAGGTCGTCTCGTACCCCTTCGGCATAGCCGTCGAGTACAGTGCCATTGACAGCTGAACACTCATTCCTCGAGTCGACTTTGGATCCCATGGATCAGGTTGAAGCATGGCAGCCAGCCATTGACCCCAGTTCGTGCAGTTGCGGTTGAAGTCCAGTTGCTCCCAAGTCAGATTCCCAGAGCCTTTGACCTCCGTACCCGGAACCCAAAGGTCCATGGTTTCGGGATCGTAGGAGTTCATTGTCGAGTGGAGGCGGCGGCTCTCACGCCTGTTCGAGGTATCTCTTCACGACAACTGAACGTAATGTGCAAGAAACTGTGGATTCGAGTGGGGGACAAGCAGCCATCCATGGCGCGGGGCACAGAGACATTCTTAAGGCTGGCATGATCAGGATATTCAAGTTGCTGCCCATCCCGGCGGCCACAATCTCCGTCTAACAGCCGCACTCTTTCTTTATCGTGGGCGTCTGGGAATGGGCTCTGAGAATGGGCCGGTTCGACGCAGCTGAGCGCCAGGGCTGACAGCTAAGACAGATAAGGAACGAATCATCGCGACTAAATTACTACCCTGGATGACTAGCGTAAGCCACCATCCCCAAAGCGACTTACGAGCTGCCACTCGTAGCATGTTTCCAATAAGGCTGGCCATTCACTGCATTCTCAGACCGCCATCTCGCTTGCGAAATCTCCGCTAACGGGGGTTGGGCAGGGAGCTGTGGGAGCTGTGGGAGCTAGACGTTGGGGGCCGGGGGAAGTTTGTTGTTGCCTACGGCTAGAGCTCGGTCTTTGATTCAGAACCGCTCTTCGGGTCGCTTTTTGCGGTCGCAATGGGCGGGAAAGAGTCTTACTTGCCCGGCATGACATTTCCATTGTATTGAGGGATTATCTCTGTCGATCCATGAGGCTGCCAATCTTCATACTAGCCGCGATGCTGTGTCTGTACGTGTCTTTGCCAGTTGGATTTCCTCTTGATACCGACACCCTTCTCTTGCGAGTACTTGCATCCGGCGAACGGGCAGAAATAGCCCTCCCCGTCCGAATGCCGCTCTTCGCAGTGTCGCTTGAGGTCTTTTCTGTATCGGAAAGCCCAAGAACAGTCTCCCGCTCTACACTTGAACGGCTTCTCATGCTTGATCTTACAGCGACTGCGAACAGGTCAGCAACGATCTTTTTTTTTTTTTAATGTCGGCAGTCTGAGGTTGACATACTTCACCTCCCAAAGCCTTGCGTAAACATTCCCACACTCGTCGCATCGTAGTTCAGTTGGCTCTGTGTCTTCGGTGCTCTGAACAGTGCTGGGGGCGATGTGTTCCACGCCTGACTGGCTGCCATGCTCGTGGTCTTCTTGGTATTGTTCCAGTAGAGACGGGCTTGGGGCAGGTGCCCCATATTCCGGAGATGAACTTGGCTCATTGTTACTCTGCTCCCCATCCTGCTCAACAGGCTGAGGTAAACTTGACGATATACCCCAGTCATAGTCACCTAGCGGCCCGCCACTTCCGGTCTTTACCCACGACGGATCTACGGTCTCAAAGCGATGATTATGATGTTCTCTTGTTTGACCGGTCGAGCCTCGCGAGGTCGAACTAGATATGTAGACGGACTACCAAACGAGTTGAAGGAGTGTTGAGCCTGTTGAGAAAATCTGACGGCAAGAGCAGAGTTTCTATGGCCAAGAGGGGAGAGCTAGAAAAGAGGTAAGGAACGGACGGCGAAAGTTGAAAAGAACGAGTGGCATAGCACCACCGTGCCGGCCGTGACAAGAAGAGTGAAAAGAAAGTGAGTCCTCGAGGGAGGAGAGCCGTTTTATGCTCAAGAGTGCGTTCAGAAAGCGGCAAGTGCTCAATGGATTGGCAATTGAGTTCTGCTGGACCATCCATGTCATTGGTCCAGAATAGCTGTAGGCCTCAACTCTAAATGAGGCACCATCTCTCATCGCCCTGCTGCCCGAAGGTATGCATTGCACAGGCTTCACCCGATAACAATTTCTGAGGCAGTATACATCAGGCTATCCTGGCTCATGGGTCTGGTCTTACCATCTGGCAGCATACTTTGCCCCAGGGAGTGAGGACCGCCATCAGCATAGGCTCGACTGAACAGTCAGAAGTAAAATTGCTGCTGGTTATGACGAGCTGGAACTCACATGCTTCTGTATCACTGCAAGCTCAAGTAATGACGTATCATCTTCTACTTGCTTCAGGAATGATGTTTCTATAATTCGGGCGAGAACTATACCACCAGGACCACAATGCGGCGAGAAACGAAGAACCCTAAAGGTGTCATTTATGCACCACCTAAACCGGTGCCTGATCCGCCAACACCTAGCCTAAAGTCACCCAGCTATGCTAATTGAGGACTAGAATCGTCACTGTAAATGTGAAGAAGGCCATGAGCATGGCTAGTAGCGTGAACGGCCGTTTTGTGTGACCAGCGATCGGTCATGATAGCGTGGGCATATTTCAAGGCTGACTCGGAATAATTGAGCTACCTGGTATAGCATCTCGGCCTAGCTTTGCGCCATGGCTGAAATGAAGCCATAGGTACTATAATTTAAAGGTAGGAAAAAAGAATGGCACACGATGTGGCTGTTTCATTAGTCGGGCGCTAAAGTAGGCTATTATCCGTCACATCTTCAGTCAAGTCGAAACTAAACATGCAGTTGAGATGAGAACTGCTCTATCCGTCATGAGTACCTTTGCAGGCCGAATCTGACATGTAGAGGCTGTCAATTTCTCGATCTACCACAGCTAGTATGAGAACCTCTCTCAAAGCGAAGACTGTATTGTCTGAAGCCAACACCGGATGGGGGCTCTCCTCAATACAATATCAGTTTGATGCGAACCTTTCGAGCATTCAAAGGCACATGGAGTAATATTCAGTCCCTAAGACCGGCATTCAAAGGCTTTCAGTTCCTGGATTTGGCAAGGTATCACGATGGATCCTTTTGCTTAGGCTGTCAAGAAAACTGCAATGAACCATTCCTATGTCTTCGCCCACATGAAAGCGAGCATGATATTCGAACTGAGAAAGGTGAAACCCTCGCATTGCGACACAAGTTTCTTGTGCTGCAGAAACGGTCAACAAAGCACACTAATGGGCTTTCTCCACGAAAGTTCTGAATCTGTGCAGACAGGTCTTTCTACAAGGGCCATGATCAGAGAGCATTGTCTCACATCCAACTGTCACAAAGTATTTGTATGATATCTTCAAAGTCTAGTCCATTACCATGAATGATAGTGTCCCTCAGTCAATTTGAACTACATGATAGAAATTGAAGTCGACAATTTACATAATCCTAGCAGCTTCCTACATGAAATATCCCCCTACTTGAATAACATCAACATCGCCTTCTTACAGAAGTTACTTCAATCACCGTGACTCTCACTTAGAGCCCATAACTTCCCAACTGTCGCATACATCCTCAAAATGGCGCCTCATGCCGAAGACTCTTCATCTGCCGCTGAATACGCCGAGCGCGTCTTCCAACACCTAGAAGACAACCGCCCCTCTGACGCACCTGCCGATTTCTCAGATCCCCAACCAGAGAAGCCCAAAGCCACTCAGCGATCGAAGACTAAGGAGATCAAGGCCCAGTTGATTCAGCGTAATAACGACGCCTCTGTTGAGTCCCACTCTCGTTCCAAATCTGGTAAGTTCCGCCTCCAACACACTGGTTCCTTCGGCGACGGTCGTGTAAAGGAGCTCGTTGCCAACTACGAAGCTCGATCTCACCGTACCGAGGAGTCAGCTAAAGAACCCGATCGACGCCAGCGTGTACTTGCGAAGGATACCGATGCCGCAAACGGTGACGAAAGTGAGGAGGATGAGAAGGATTGGATCAAGGTCGTTGATGCGGACTTAGATTGAGTGGAAGGCTATCCTAATGCTTCTTGACAATGGTGTAAGCATTCGAGCTTCTGGAGTTTAATAGATTTGACTTTTAATCATTCTAGAACGTAGAGGGATTATTCCCTGTTTACTTGAGAATCCGCAAGCTTAGTCACGGCTACAAGAGGCCGGAGATTCTATGTGATCTCAATCTCTGAATAGCTGTTGTGGAAAAGCCTTGCCTATCTACTCCTCCTAGGCTTTCTAGAACTTCTACCCCATGTGCACTACTCTAGTTTTGCCCACTGTCGTCTCTGCGGAATATGTATTTCTTCGGTCTCAATTTGATACACCGGGCGTCGTATCTCAAGGGACCAGGCAGACAAGCAGAAAAGCATGTAAGCATGTTCTTCTTCATACTCTGCAGCTGACGTCGACGCACTCTGTTGTCTCTATCAAGAGAGTTCAAGGTACAGATCACGTAAGTTATCTTCAGAAGGTGAGAGAATTGAGGCATGCCGAGTTTGTAGGATATCTAAACATGATGTCAGAAGGATTGACTTTACCTTGCTCACTAGCCTGGCGACCTTGTACTAGAGACCCTAGACCCTTAGCTGACATTGATTTGAGACGACAAACCACAAAGGGCTTATGCTTGGTGTTGTTAGACAACAAGGCTGCTCAAAGAATTACGGGACACATTGTAGGCCCCTTTGTCTGTTGTCTGATATATGCCTTTCCTAATCATAGCTGCCTGTCTCATTTGCTGTCTTGAAGCTTCCTATGGCTTCTGGGGGGATTTTGAACATGGCTTGATTGTATACCGAGTACTATATAGAGCAACCCTCCACCCGGAACTGGTTCGGGAACGTTGAGTGGACTTGCTACTCTTGTAATCGAGAACCAGGCCGTCCACAATGGTGCAGCCCAACAATGACGAAGACGACTACGTCTTCCCTGAGACTACCGAAGTAACCAACGACGAACGCGACCATCCCCTAGCTGTCATCAATAACCCAGCTTCCCCAATATCCACCGGCTGGGCGATACTCTGGAACTCTGACAGCTCCTCCGATGCCACATCTGAGCCCATCGATATGAAAACCTCACCCGATCGGTCTCTACCAGCTCTTCATCACCGCACCTTGCACCCTAAATTAGAGAGCTGGCTACGTCCCGCATTGTCTGCGACTATCCCTAGCCCACGCCCAGCCCCAACGTCCCAGGAAGCACTCCATCAATCCGAGCCCACGTCCTCAGCATCCCAATTTTTCGACTCGACGGCTCGGAAGCTGATTGACGGGGAAGGTCGACCAGCTCGAACCTTGAGCGTCGTGAACACGATTTCCTCGGAAGCCGGCCCCTCGCGAAGAACCCCTCACCGAATTGGCTTATCGACTGGAGATCTTCGTGAACAGGTTCTGCACTCCAACCGTATTTCCAAGCAGGACAAAGCTTTGGCTAACGAGCAATACTATCGACAGCTACTCCGATCCCGCTCCGTCCGATCCAACTACCGCGTGCGCGACCTCAGAGAACATGCCGGCAAGGTTCCGGACCCCGAATGGCGCTGGTGCGGCTTCCCAGGTTGCGACAACGGTGCCTGTCGATACAATTTCCTTCTGTCATGGGGAACCGGATACGTCATCACCCCTCTTGATTCAGGGAGAGACTGTGACATTCTGAAGGATCTTCTTAACGCCTTTGGCTCTCAGAACTGGAACTACATGGCGGAGCCCCATAGCCGGGTTTCGTTTGCAACATCGCCTCCTGTCAGGAACGCCGTTGGCCAGTTTCTCATTCGCTTCAACCATCTGCAGGGTGCCGCTGGGGGGTGGGACAGGGGAGACTATCAAGCAGCAGCGATTTATTTCACCGACATGCGCACCCAGAACTTTCCCGTAATGCATCCGCACAATATCAAGAGGCTTCACAGCGAGATGGACAAGGAGCTCTCGCGTTCGGACTCTGCTGTTGCCCCATGGCGTCTTATTCTTCAGTTCATCATGCACCTCGAGGCATGGAGACAGCACCAGATCAAGCAAGGATATCCTTGGGACTGGCCTTTGTACGATGCTCTCGATATGTATCGAACCATTCTCGAGACCTATCGACAATCCATTGGCAAGGGTTTCTCGACCCTGAAGACTGAGGTGCAGGCAGAGCAGGACAAGGCTTGGGTGCTCTGGTGGGATCGTCACCGTCCCTGGACCAGCTGTAAGGTTGCCTTTCTTTCTGCCCTCGAAGATGCTAACAATATTGACAGAGATAGGAGATTGGAAGTTGATCCAGGAGGGAACAATGTTTCCGATGCGGTGGTCTATGAAGGTGTGGGACAGTACAAGCCACATTGGTGGCCAAATTGGCCAAGAGCGCCTGGGTTGGACGTATCTCTAGAGCTATGAGGCACTTTGGGATGGTAGACATTTGTTGACTTCCTTGAAAAGGCAGATAGTGTTGCTTTTGCAACGTCTCTAGTGGATAACAGAATACTGCTTTCATATGAGGAGACAAACAAGTTTGTCAACACCCAACTTGCATCGTAATCTTTAACAAGCTATATCGATTCGTGATGTTGATTGGGTTTACCTTTGTCCAGGCACCCTTCACCTTGTTGTGTTTGACTATTAGAAATCACTCCTGTTGGTCGTCTCTTTGTTATTTACCCTTTTTCCTGCCAAGGAGCGTAGGGTAGGTACAAGGATAACGAGAAGCTTCTAGGATCGAGAGGTGGAAGTAGCAAGCAAAGAAGCTGCTCCTCGTTGATACTTTGAACTGAGGATCGCCTGGAAGCGCCTTCCTTCACACAGATGGACCTAGAGTGACCCGCATCACAGGAGTCAAGCCGCACTTCCTCTCAGCTGCGGGCCTTGGGGCATGCGACTTCTGCGAGACGAAGGGGCGGGCTTTTGCTCAGAAACAAAATAGAACTCTCTTGCTGTTGAAGAATACAAACAAACCTTTCCTCCACAACATCCTCTTTTTTTTCTCGACGTTGCTGGAAAAGAGAAACTCCAAAAGTTGCAGCCCAACCATCACCATAGCCACTCAGCGAGGGCTCTCATCTGAAGCAGAAGCCTCGAAAAAAAAAAGATCCCAAGATGGCGTCCTCCTGCCTCCAGGAATTTCCTCGCGCCTCAGGCTCAGGCGACGACGGCGGACCGGCAAGGAAGGAACCCGAATCATTCTGCTGCCAGCTCGCTACTTCCACTCCCATCACTCACCCCGAAGAATTCGCTAAACTCCTCGATCTCATCGTCAATCAATCCAAGGAGAAGGATCCTGCCGCTGGCATCGTCTTCGCGTTTCTCAACTTTCCGAAGAGCAACTGCCTGTTCCCCCTGGCCTGCCTCGTCCACTTCTTCGAGACATTCGTTCCTCAACCCATCATCACTTATCTTACGAGCGACTCTTGCCTCAGTGCCGCAAAGAGCATTGATACCATCCTCATGGAGGCCAAGAAGTCAGAGCAGGGACTTTACAAGGACACGAAGCGCAGCTGCTTCCCATCGACCGGCCGAAACCATTTCCTCCGCCTGATGAACGCATCTGGTCCCATAGTATGTCATCTCTCAAGTTTCCCTTCCACCCCAACACCTCATTTCCTATTTATCAGACTAATCTTCGTCGCAGCCCAAGGGTGAAAAAAGTGCAGCTGGTGCCACTCGCAGAGGCCTTCCCGAGCTCGACTATATCCTCTTCCAGGAAGATCTTCCTTCTTATTTCGATCGTTCCGAGCGGTATGATAGCTTGCCCGGCGACCCAGTGAACTACCTCTTCTCGGCTCTGCCGCAAATCCAGGAAGATGACGCAGGTTTCAAGGGAAGCAACAAGTCTGCAGATTATAACCGCCGTTTCGCCCTGGCCCTCTGGCCTTATGCCAACTCCAGCATCGAGGATATCATCGCCAAATCCGACGACAAGGCTGCCTCTGACTTGTGGTGGGCCGGGCGCTTCGCCTTCTCTCTCTGGGATAGATCCGACTTGTCTATTCGATGCTCCTTCACCCAGCTTCTCGGCGAGATTGCCTTATACCACAACTCTGAGATTGTCGATAATCCTGCCCCTGTCAAGCCAAACCACCTTTGCGAAGCTGTTGATGGTGGCCCCTGTCCCGGAGAGGCATACGTTCAGAAGCATAAGTGGTTGAAGTATGCCCGCTGGATTCATCGTGGAAGAAAAGACGAGGATGCCGACATCAAGGTCCGTCTGGGCAGCAAGTGTGACTTGAACGAGCTATTGAGCATCGAGAAGTGTGTTACCTGCGGTCACGAGCGCAAGATCTCTCGCTGTGGAGCGAAGAAGCCCATGCACCACTGCAGCGGCTGCTACGTCGAGTGGTTTCCGCACCTTCGTCGAACTTACTGCGGCCCGAAGTGCCAGAAGAAGGATTGGAAGACGCACTTTGAGGAGTGTCAGCGTCACAAGCACTTCATCCGAGCCGTCTGGATTCTGAAGGGCATCGCGGACAAGTTCATGGCCGCGACGTTTTCCGGCCAGGCCGTTGATATCTCCCCGATCGAGGTCCGTGATAACAAGACCAAGGCGCTCGACCTCAACAGCGTCCCCCGCTTCGCCGTCACCCCGGCTGCGTGTGCTGTTGGACCTTGGGTGGGGGAGCAGGTGTTCCCTCTCGGCAAGTCGTACTTGGCGGACAAGAGGAATGAGGACCGCGCGAGAGCATTGGCTTGGGATGCTGGTGACAACCTCTACTACCACCTTCAGACTATCATTCGTCAAATCGTCAGCCGTAAGTATCGCTCTCAGGCCTATGTCCTCCCAGCGTCTTTTTTTCCCGTTCATCTCATTCGGAAGACGAACATTAGTATGAACTAACCGATGGCGATAGCGCTCTGTGACGATGTGGTTGAGATGCAGATGTTCCTGCGCAATGCCAACAGTATTACCTCTCTTGCCGCTGATCGGTGCCGGGAAGGCCCCGCCATCAACACTGCCAAGGGCAAGGATCCGATGTTCTGGCCCCATCCCGTTCTCAATTGTCGGCTGAAGGGAAGCGACGACTTGTTCATCATCGACCTTCTTGGAGCCAAGTTCGGCTTTAACGAGATCCTCCTCCCGGGCGAGGTATGGGTCAAGTCTAGGTACTCCTCCAAGGTAGACACGATCCCATTGGCGAAGATGAGGCTAACTAGGAAATGATACAGACTTGCGTACTGCGTTGGCTCAACGGTTGTCACGGACATGACGCCTCACTGGTTTCCCCGCGAGCAGCAGGGTCTCGTCTCTTGCCGTGATGAGGTCGCCTACACTTGGAGATCGTGCATCAAGACGTACATCGCCGCCAAGTGGCCCAATGTTCCCGGGCCCTTTGCCTTGTCGCATCTGAAGGAGCAATTGTTCAGGGAGAGGACTTACATGTTCATGGTCCACTCGGACGACATCTTCAGGGAGGCCACCAATCGTCTGCGCGAGGAGAGACTCTTCCGGCAGTACCTTGTCCACGACCCGAACCCGTACTCTCACGAGTTTGCCATTGGCGTCACCAACTGTCAGAAGGAGTGCGATGTCTACGAGAAGATCTGGATGGATCGGCGTGTGTTCGATGTCATCGTCAAGGGTGAGCTCAGCGAGCAAAACCAGCTGCTGCCCGCGGGGTCCGAGACCATCCGCCTCGTCGCACTCTGGGTCGACCGGTTGATCAAACACGGTCAGAAGGTCAAGTTTGACTCGGTCGGGCTCCTTGGTCCTCGCATGGCCAAGCACTACAACATCTGCACCACGCACTCGTTGGACGAGCTTCGCGAGATTTCCACGCCCTGGCTCCTGTGGCATGGCATCTCCAAGGATTCATCCCAAAAGTTCTTCGAGCAGTGCAAGGGCATCGTCACCGACTACATTAGTTCGAATGCGGCGACGCCTGATCAGCTGCTTAGTAAAATGGCGTCGTCCGACGGCCTCGCCAAGTACCTGCAGACCTTGTCGATGGAGGATGCGCAAGAGTTCTTGGAAATTGGATCAATGATCGAGTCTCCCCATAACGCTGCATCGATTAAACAGCTGCGAAAGGAGCTTGAGAAGCAAGCCGGGGACAAGAAGTGAGGCAGTTCGTGAGATGAGCTCCGTTCGTTTCTTTCTAGTACTTGAGACACAGTCCCTACTGGGTATGGCATGGTAGGGAATGGGACTTGGAAAGCGAGCTTTCGGTAGGAAGGAAACGGTTTTTTTGTGACTTTATGAAATACCCTTGAGCTTGGTAAATGGAAAAGGAGAAACTGAATCTGATTTCCCGTCTGGTGAGGAATTGAGTGAAGCTGAAGTCGACATGCTGAAGCGTCGTCAAACGAATCGCTGTGATTGGCCAATGAGTGCTTACCGTCGATGTGGTGCACGGGCCATATGAAATTTGTCCGACTGGCGATTGAAGCTCGGGAGCTCCAGCAACTTTTTCCCATCACCAGGTGCACCCCCATCACGCCGACAGGACAGACATCTCCTGCTCTCCAGACACGTACATAACCCCTCAGACGAGCATTGCAGCCTTGCCATTTGGATCGATGCTAACGAGCTCCCCCAGGATGCCACCAAGGTTACCACAACAGGCCGCGCGCGTCCTGCGCAGGCTGGCGACGACGACTTCAACCCCAATCACACGATCCTTCACCACCACGACCTCCTTCCTCGCCGCCCCGGCCGCCGCAAGCCTCCGTCTCCCCGCCGACTACGTTCCCGCAACGAAGCCTCCCTCCGCCCGCCCCCCCGAAACCCGCAAGTCCCAGCTCATCAGGACCTACACCTCCCTCCTCCGCACGACGCCCCTGATCCTCTTCTTCCAGCACAGCAACCTGACGGCAGACGAGTGGTCCGCCGTCCGCCGCGAGCTCAACAGCGCCCTCATCGCTGCCACGCCCGCGGGCACCAACAGCCCCCTCGATGGCCGTGAGGTCCACCTCCAGGTCCTGCGCACGCGCATGTTCAACGTCGCGCTCAAGCTGGCCGAGTTCTACGACCCCGAGGCCGCCAAGGCCAAGGCCGGCACGCGGACGGGACCCCGCGGGCCCTTGGTACACGATCTGAGTATGGCGGCCTACGAGGCGATGAAGGATTTCGAGGTCCCCGAGGACTCGGCGTACGCGCAGATCTCGCCGTTGCTGTGCGGTCCCACGGCGGCGCTGGTCTTCCCCGCCGTCTCGCCCGCGCACCTCGCGGCCGCGCTCAAGATTCTGGCGCCGAGCCCGGGCAAGTTTGCGGCGCCGCCGAGGAAGAAGAACCCGGGGTACTACGAGCCCCTGTGCCAGAGCGCACTGCAGAAGCTGCTGCTTGTCGGTGGACGAGTCGAGGGCGATGTGTTTGATGTTGATGGCGTCAAGTGGGTTGGTGGTATTGAGGGCGGCCTCGATGGGCTGCGGGCGCAGCTCGTGCATATGCTCCAGAGCGCTGGGTTGGGTCTTACTACTGCTCTTGAGGGCGGAAGCAAGAGCCTTTGGTTGGCGCTGGAGGGCCGGAGGACGCAGTTGGATGACGAGGGGAAGCCTAAGGAGAGCGTGAGTGCGGAGGAGACAAAGACCGAGTAGAGGATTGCTTGGGAGGATGGTGTATGATAGTGCTGTAAAAGTCTGTATTATCACGGGATACGGATCTCTACTATAGAGCTAAACTATTTGTTCATGGCATTGAAGTTGGGTATGACTGTAGTCAGCAGAGTTGCATGTGAATTACTGCCAAGTCATGATTCCCTTGACGAAAGCGAAGTGCTCTTCGTGGTTTCTCTGAGCACCGATAAGCGTCGCGCCGTTTCTTTAACGGGGACCGAGAAGCCTGAATGGACCGCCGTGCAGGACCATTCAAAACGGGCGGAGACGATGTTAGCAACATTTAGCAAGCCTCCTCAAGATAATTTGAGGCACCACAACGTTGTTGAGTTCTGTGACTGACCATTAGACATTCTAGTGGCACATCTTGTATTGAATAATATTCGAGACTAACAGACTTATAGTTCGTCTCAGCCGCCTCAGTCTGGAGTAAGTTTGACAAGAGCCCTGAAGACGAAAGAGTGAGGTGGACGGTTCGTTCTGACCGGGCCGGCAAAAGGCGGGGCGAGAGCCACTAACAGCGACCGCTGCAGGTGACCTGCATGAACGCGCCGCCGAACCGGAAAAAGACCCCTAATTAAGCCTGGAGCGCGAGTTCCAGGTGTGCTCCAGCTACCTCCACGCAGTACCTGACGCCATGGCATTGCGCGTTTCTGAGCTCCCAAAAGTCCCTAAGCTGACGTACCTCGAACATCGGACTTCAACAGCTTCACTACGTCTGACGAACAACACCACGACAACATCAGCGTACGAATCTGTCTCAAGAACCCCGCAATCGTCTGGTACAACATCGAAGCCTTTCCTCCGAACCTCTGCCTAGCCCTGCGAAACCCCGCGATCCCTTCCAGCTTTCCCATTCATACCACAACAACAGAACCCAAAACATACATCATGGACTTTGCTCCCTACCAATCCTCCCCGCCGGAGCGCGAACGAGCCCTCTCCCCGCCTCTCGCGTCGCCGCGCGCCTCGGCCGATATTCGAAGACCCTTTTCGCCGTACGGCCAGCCGTCACCCCCGCCCCTGCAACACCCGCAACCGCAGCGCGGATGGCAGCCGAACCTGCCAGGGTCCTATCCCACGGCGGACGCGCACCGGGAGGGCGTGAGCGAGTTCGATACGAGCCTGGGGATCAGGCTGGATTACGAGGCTGCGTTGGCGTATCTGGCGTTTCCGCCGCTGGGTGCGATATTGCTGTTGATTGGGGAGCGGAATAGTGATTATGTGAGGTACGTGGGGTGTTGTTCTGGGGGTGTCGAGGCTCTGACAATAATGCGACGGCCTCTCTACGAGCGAGGCATATTGCTCGTTATATCGGGTCGCTGACATCAAGCAGGTTTCACGCATGGCAGTCGGCACTGCTGTTCACGGCCGTCATGATCTTCCACCTGGTGTTCCTCTCATGGTCCAAGTTCCTGAGCTGGTTCTTCTTCATCGGCGACCTGTTTGTCATGGTGTGGCTGGCGTTGAAGGCGTACCAAGATGCGGATACGCTAGATAGGTATGTTTGTTGGTGGAGCGGAGAATGAGCCCGTTGCTAAGGGGACATTGTGCTGACCATGTGTACTAGATTCGAGGTTCCCGTACTTGGCGCCCTGGCCAGCCGGATTCTTGACGACGAATGAAATTTGACGACTCGACGAGAGGCCTGAGGGAAAGGAAATACTGTGTTGTAAGATGGCGAGGGAAGTGCCTTGATGACTTATTGTTGTACATATCATATACCCTTTTAATCAGTCGGAGAGAGAGAGACGCATCTCGACCTAGGCCAGCTGGTCTTTTTGTCTCATAGATGTACCATGTTGTCTGTTTGAATGACAAGAGAAATGAGTTCAATGTGCCATGATATCAGATGACAGCATGGCTTGGTGAAGTGGTTCTGGTAATATCTCGTCGATGAAGTGAGATGTACTTAGTAATATCGTACCGTGTACAGGTATGTTTCTGCACAGTCAGAAGCACTGTAGCCGGATGCGGTCGGACTTTCCTCCTAGCGCTTTCCGGCCTGGCCATTTGACGCACAGGGCAACACCAGGCTGATTACGCGACTGTTGCTTGCCTTGAGGTCCAGCTCGAGCCTCACTGCCCAGTACCTCACCCACGCAGCTCCGAAGCTGTCCCTTTCTGCTCCATCACAAACCCACGACGACACACGGTATCGACCCGACCCGGCCCCATCACCAATCCCTCTCACGCTTTGACGATAGAAACGGCGAATTGTATCTTTGACGAACATCTACCTTTAATATCCCCCTCCCGTCCCCCACACACACCCCGCCACCATGTCGACCCTTGAAGAGCTCGACGACCTCGATCGTCAGGACAAGAACGACAAGAGAGACGAGGGCGACAAGGACAAGAAGGAGAAGAAGCCCACCAACGATGGTGATGCCGATATGGAGGATGCTGAGAAGGAGGAAGACATCCTTGACGACGAGATCCTGAACCTCAGCACGCAGGACATTCAGACACGCAAACGGCTGCTCGAGAACGACTCCAGAATCATGCGCAGCGAACTGCAACGGTTGACGCACGAGAAGGCGACTATGGGGGAGAAGATCAAGGAGAACCTCGACAAGATTGCTAACAACCGGTATGCTACTTGCTTCCCTCCCTCACCCCCCGACCAACGATGACGGAATGGACGACTGACATAATCCATCTTACAGGCAATTACCCTACCTTGTCGGCAACGTCGTTGAACTCCTCGATCTCGACCCTACTGCCGAGTCATTGGAGGAGGGTGCCAACATCGATCTGGATGCCACCCGCGTGGGCAAGTCCGCAGTCATCAAGACCTCCACAAGACAAACCATCTTCCTCCCGTTGATCGGTTTGGTCGACCCCACCACTCTGAAGCCTGGCGACCTCATCGGTGTCAATAAGGACTCCTACCTCATTCTTGACACGCTTCCGGCCGAGTATGACAGCAGAGTCAAGGCCATGGAGGTTGATGAGAAGCCGACAGAGAAGTACACGGACGTTGGTGGTCTCGACAAGCAGATTGAAGAGCTGGTTGAGGCCATTGTCTGGCCCATGAAGGAGGCGGAGCGGTTCAAGAAGATTGGCATCAAGGCGCCAAAGGGTACGACCGAATATCAGAGGCTGATTAGGCGATATACTGACCATACTTATAGGTGCCCTGATGTACGGCCCCCCCGGTACCGGAAAGACGCTGCTGGCCCGAGCCTGCGCAGCACAAACCGACGCTACATTCCTCAAGCTTGCCGGTCCTCAGTTGGTTCAGATGTTCATTGGAGATGGTGCTAAGCTTGTGCGCGACTGCTTCGCCCTGGCAAAGGAGAAGGCCCCGGCGATTATCTTCATTGACGAGTTGGATGCCGTCGGTACGAAGCGTTTCGACAGCGAGAAGAGCGGTGACAGAGAAGTGCAGCGAACTATGCTGGAGCTTCTGAACCAGCTTGACGGTTTCGCATCAGACGACCGCATCAAGGTGCTGGCCGCTACCAACCGTGTGGACGTCTTGGATCCTGCGCTGCTTCGTTCAGGTCGTCTCGATCGAAAGATCGAGTTCCCCCTTCCGAACGAGGAAGCGCGTGCGCAGATTCTTAAGATTCACTCTCGCAAGATGAGGGTCGACCCCGCCGTCAACTGGGGCGAGCTGGCCCGCAGCACGGATGAGTTTGGTGGTGCCATGCTCAAGGCCGTCTGTGTAGAGGCCGGTATGATTGCTCTGCGTATGGGCAAGAACAAGATTAGCCACGAGCATTACGTGGATGCCATTGCCGAGGTGCAAGCCAAGAAGAAGGACGTGAGTGTTGAGACCTGCTGCCCGTGGGTTGCTGTATGTACACTGACTCTTTTCAGACGGTCAACTTCTACGCTTGATCCATTCACGTGTTGGGTGATGCTGCCGCTGGGTATCTGGGGTTATTGCTTCTGGCGGGAACGGGAATGCATAGAGGAGTCGAATGCGATAGACAACAACTTTGTACGATTACCACGGACACTCAAGCGGCCCTATAGGAATGGAAAGCAGGGTGATTGTGATCCCAGCAAGCAGTCCCATTACGCGTTCCGTTGGTACTTGCCATGTCGGATATGCCGTTTGTGAATTCGATGTTTTAACATGGGCAAGTGAGGCCTCTTGCCAAGTGGCGAATTTAGCGAGGGGAACACGAGGGAGAAGCTATCCACATTTGGAGACGGTCAAGTATCCTGAAAGTTTGACACCCTGACTGAAGCCTACGATAGTTATCAACGATCGGCACCCGAGAGGCGAGAAGCAAGTACGCGTTCAGCTTCACGGTCTCCAAAAGGGATCGGCAAGCTGTCAGGAACACCTCGCAAGACATCGAAAGTCAGGCTACTGCAGGTCGTAGGACCTTGTCGAGCTGAGGCCGATCTCTTTTGCGAGGCCAGCACAGGCACAGGGTTGTGGGTGAGCAGGCATTCGAGAGACGGTTGCAGGTATGCATGCATGCTCTTCACAAGTTGCGATCCTCCCCCGAGCAAGGGCTATGATCTGGCTGCTTACGTAGGTGCCATCCGTGTTGTCGTTTCTGGGATCCATGTTCTTTGGAGTACTTTGGGACGAACGGCCAATGATGAGGGTCAATGGCATTGATGAGGAGGAATTGGGAATCTGTGGGAGGGTGTTGCAGGTACGGCCATCGTTGCCGAGTATCTTGAGCATCGCGTACAGGAGAGCAAACGTGCTGCTATATCGTGTGGCGTTGTATACCTACCTCAGCATCGTAGTACGTTCCCTAAGCCTCTTCTGCGAGCCGTCTTTGGAGTATCATTGGCGGTGCGAAGTCTAGGGCTTTCATTACATTACTCTCTACGTAGACACTAGGTGCACAATGCAGATACACAGGAGATTTGAGCTGTTCCTTGGAGGGCTGGCAGACCTTGGTTTTCCTCTCCGAAGAGGGCTGATCCCTGCCTGGTTTGGGGTCGCTTCGAGGTTCTGGGGGGTGGTTCACTGGTGGACAGGGGAGCTCAAGATGGAAGTCATGTCCTAGCGTCCTCCCCTTTTGTGGCTTTCGTTTTTTGCTTCTTTTTTTGCTTTCTGCTCAGCATTGGTGACGACGGTAGGTGAATTTGCTGTGAAAGTGGTATGAGGGCGTTGATGGTGAGGGTATGGGGTGACATCGTGGGAGGCGAGGTTTGGCGATGCCCACTTGTCACCCAGTTTGGTGGCGATGTATTTGTCTGTCCAAGTTGGCAAACCGGCAAGCTGCTTCGGCTGTGTCTGTGTGGAATTCGGCAGCGTCAATGTAGGTCCAGAGCTCCAGCCTGCAGCTTTCTCGGAACTTTTTTTGGTTATTCTCCTGACGAGTGTTGCCTTGCTCCTCTCACTCACTGATTCAGCGCTGCGTTTCTGGGTGTCATGGTCTCATGTTAATGACACCGTACCGTTGCGGCGGGCGTGGAGATGGGAAAGAGGTGTCACGGTGTGCTGTGCCCAGGTGTGCAGTTTGTTACCGAGAGTTCGGACCATGGCCGGGGGGATGGATTTGGGAGGGGGCGAGACCGATGACGCCACCGCGGCTGAAGGGGCGGAAAGCTGGCGGATAGGGAAGTTTGGGCCAGATGGGAGTAAGAAGCTTATTCTCCCCCAAGTCCCTTCCCCTTGCGCCGTTTCTTACTGTTCACGCTATTGTCTTCCAAGGTGCTCGATGCATTGCGTGATGGGCCAAAGTTGGCGGTAAGCCTTACAAGGTGAGACATGAACTTTTCGGCCCCCGATCTGGGGGGAAGAAGCCGCCGGCGGGAGTTAGGTTTAGAGGGAAAGTATCGCGGCCGGCCCCATCTGCCGCCCGGGGCTCCACGTCCGACTTCACTACGTACCTTGTACCTTTGTACCGGTCCAGACATTTTGATGAGTGTGAACGAAAAAGCCTGGCGGCTAAATTTCTAAATCTCCTGTTGATCGTCATAAATCATGCATTTCTTCCCTGTTGCGACCGAGTAGTCGCTGCCGTTCATCTCGTCTTTTCATCACAGCTGGTGTTCTTATTCCCAGTTGTCCCCATTTCGTTGGATTCCAAAGAGGCGCCCGACACTTCGTCTATTGTTAGAACGCTTGACACGTTTTTTTGACAGTTCTCTAAAGGGGTCAAGATTTACCCATTGTCCAGCTGCTCAGGGGAAAAGACGTGGATGCAAGATGCAGCGTGTTCCCAAAAAACGAAGCAGCTAGTCGTGGCGTCGATGCTGATCTTTCTCAGCCACGCTTGTCCTACCGTTTGACACGAGGGGATCGTCGGCCGTTGGAAAGAAAGTAAAGAGCAGCACACAGACAACTGAGGCAAAAAGCCGTCTTTTACTGCCCAGCTTCCCAACGGTCAAGGCCGAAGCGGCATAGGGACTAGAGTTGCTAGTCACCAATGGGCACCCAGCATACGCCGAAATGACGCTCTTTTCCCCCTTCCAGAAAACCAATCATGGATGGTAGACTTCTTTCAGGGGGTGTGTATTGTTGTGTGTGGTGTGAATACCGGCAGTTAAGATGCAGGGGAGCGGCACATATAGGTTGTCCTTCCCTCCCCGCTTTCCTCCAAGTGATGGCCTGCCCCGGCAGCCCGTAGGCGCGGACCAACGACGTCTCAAGACGTTGATGGCTTCTCGGCTTGGCTGTTTGTTAGTGCTTCTTTTG